CATGAACCTTCTTTGATCTCTCTTACTCAGTGCTGTTAAATGCCCAACTGTACTTCCCTTTAGCTTATGATGCACTTTTTTTAAAAATACTGATTTTGTTTTTTGGACCAACTGCAAATGCGTAGGTCAAGAGTGCATCTTTCATATCCACAGTAGTATAATCCCATTTAAACATTATTCCATGTATATACTGTAGTGTGGTAATTCAAATACATGCATCCTGCAAGCAAAACAAAACAAATTGCTAGTTTGAGCATTTAGGCATTTTTCCAGCAGAACCCTCTCCCTGATCATAAACGACCCAAATACTTAAAATATATGTCAACTTCTTGTCATTGTATGGCTGTGCTGTATACAGTGACATCATGGTAAATTCTGTGTTTTTTTCTTTTTTTCTTTCTTTCATTTGAATTGTTTTAAGGTTTTAAAAATAATATTTTGTATAGATGCACCAGTAATTCATTTTTAAAACCAATTCCGTTTTCTTTTCAACTAAATTGAAAACCATTTTTATTCACATTTTTTTTAACATGAAACACACTAGTACACTTCAGACTAGGGGTGCGGGAAAAAAACGATTCTTAGATGCATCGCGATGCAGAGGTGGATGATTCTGAATCGATTCATCACTGTCAAAAATCGATTTTCTAAATATTTAATTTATAACGTAATGTTGACGAAACGCAAAGAGCGGAACCTGGAAGTGGGTAAGTGCAGCGCCCGGACAGTCTGTGGCGGCACATAAAAAACACAACTGGATGAGTGAGAAATCCGACCGGCTCCCTCTGCATTAAAAGCCAGGTTAGGTCAGGAGTCACAACAAAAATGATAAGAAGAGCCATTTTGTCCTTTCAACAAAAATCAAACCACCTTGGGAGCCGCAACATTTAATGTCCAGTATGTGTCAGTATGTGATGATGTCCTAGTTTAGGCTAAAAAATATAAACGAAAACACAGACTTACTTTGCTCTGCTTTAAGCTTTAGCTATAGCTGCTTTTCTTCCAACAGGACAAGCATGAAATAGTGACTAAAATGTGGCCCATTAAAACTACATATCAACCAGCTGTCACTTCCAAGCCATTTTCAAGCTGCTGCTTTGCACTGTTTAAATTCTGATTTTAAAGACAAGGGCTGTGCTGTGATTTCGGCCACATTTACATGTAAAATAATTACTCAGAGAGAAAGTTAGAAGTGACAGAATATCTTTCTTTTTTCTCACACACAGCGCACAGCCTCAGTCTGGGTAACAAACCATAAAAGGGATGTTCTCTCTCCGAATGTGCTGCTCCACCTCTCTGCCACTCACTAAACTGAGTAGACGCAGAGAGAGGTGTGCCTCTCGCTCACGGGGCAGTACTGTCCACTCTGTTCTATGGAAAGTAATAAAGTTTGTCCTAGCCACTAGATATGTCACTTTTTTGAAAAACGTTGATAAAGGGGTCTGAAAAGTCACTAAATCTAGCAACATATTCACTAAGTTGGCAACATTGGCCATGGCTTACATACACTGGTGTTGCACAAAAATGTAGCATGTTTCTTATTCAAAAATAGCCAAAGGAAATTGGTAGGTCAGAGTAACACAACGGAGATAACGGAGATAAGATATTTAGGGATAAACCAGCCTTCTCAGTCACGCGTCCTTAGCAACGCGTCCTCTGCAACCTGCTCATGTTCAGGCACTCACATTTTGGGGTTTAACATAACATATTTATTCACAATGAACAAAACCTCCACTTTTTACAGTTCTGTTGAAACACTGTTTTACTGAATTGTTGGTATTCATATTTACTCTTAATCTTCCCATGATATGCAATAAGTGATTTTAGTGATTTCAGTATTCGAATATGCCACCTTGAACAGTTAACATGCGCATGGCTAATTTTAACAAACATGGCTAAACTTTTAGCAAAGTCACAAAGCAAACATTTTTTGTTTTTTAATGGGCTCTGCTGCTGTTTTTAAATTCTTAAACAAAAAATTGTTAGTCTGTTTAAATAACATGAAATCAAATAAAGTGCTTCATTGAAAGTGAGAGGCACTTGACTATTTAGCATAATGAGTCATGCAACAACTTTCTGATATGGATGTTTCAAAAAAATTGCAGCACCAAAATCAAAATAACAAATTTTCAGATTGCCATGTGTTTGAAGCAAAATATCTGATTGTGTTTCCCGAATATTTTAGGCCGCTTAAGAGCACAGAACTAGCGTACCGCAACTGCTTGTTTTTTAGGGAGCCGTCGGCTCCACCAGACTCACATAGGTTTTTGCTATGTTTAAAATATTTTAAAGGTCTGGACTGGGTTGCTGTTGTTTTTTAGGTAAGTTTGTACTTCAGAATGTGTGTAAAGTCTTCACTAAGACCTTAGAAAACACTGGTTAGTCTTAAAGTAAATTCAGTTGCACCACAAATCCATAAGTCATGCTTTAAGTAGTAACTTCTGTCTAATGTGTATGTCGCTTTAACATGGCGATCACGTTTAGAACCAATCAGTAAACCTGCTGCCATGGAAATGCAACAGCAGCTTTCCTTGCACTGTCTTTTTGTATTACATGGAAAAATATCCAGTATCGAAGAGACAAAGTAAAACTGAATAAAAAGGAACAGCTGTGGAAATTGTTCATTCTTTAACACTTTAACACTGACCATTTGACATGACAGCAGCATTAGTTTAGATGTTTGGGCAGCTGCTGCATCTCACTGAGCTGGAGCTGTGGATGTTATCTTCATGTTTGGCGTTAGAACCAGGGCAAAAGTTGGAGCTTTAAGGCACATTTTTGGTCTTTTTTTTGTGCTATCTACAACATTTCCGTTAGTTTCCCCAATACTTACACCTGTTTAGGGGGATGTGTAAATGTTTAGTAACTACTGATGCGATCAGCTCCTGTTTGTTTATTATTTTTAGCAGTTGCAGTTAAACAATCCTGAAATCTGGGGGGGTGCTGCAGCCCCCTCAGCACCCCACTTTCCACATCCCTGGTAAACAGTTTTGGTGAGTTGGAGTTTCTACAGGAAGTGCACACTGGTAGAACAGCTCAAAAAGTTTGTCATCAGCTTCTTCGGAAGAAAACCCGCTGAATCAGCGGCCTCTGTAACCAGTGTGGCTGATTGAAGTTTCGAATGTTTTATGTAACGGTGTAGCCACGCCCCATTTGAAAGGCCCCGCCCAGGGGCGTGACACAGCAGGGCCCACGGGCAGACCCTTTCCCCCACGGGACGCGTGGCTGCAGTCTTTTCTGAGCTGTACAAGCGAGTCATTACACTTCACAGAGAGGAAGTTTTGGTTCAGACATACCAAAACCTCCTGTTTTTATCTTGTCTCAACGCTGCCTTCTCATTTTAACAGCCACAGTCTGGACTGCTGCTCTGTCTCTGCTTTGCAAGTGAATCTTTGTTAGTCTAACTGTGTATTTAACTGGAAGCGCTCGCCAACATCAGCAGCACTAATGAACCGCTGGCTGAAGCATGACGTCAAGCAGCGACCTATAGCAGCAGGCTGTGTCTGCGCTCATGAGTCCCAACACACCCACACACACACACACACACACACACCCCCACACAGACACACACACACACACCCACACGCACGCAACGCGCGCGCCTTCCAAAACACAAAGCTTCCCTTTTTCGTAATTTAAGCCGAAAAGCTGAAGCGGTGGGTGGGAGGCGGGCGCTCTGGGGCCGGACGTCTGCACACAGCAGCAGCAGCGGGCGGGCTGGATCTTCGAGCCCCGATCGGCGTTTTCCGTCAGTGGCTCAGTTACATCTCAGCGGCGCGGGCTGGATGTGAGTCGCGGCCGGCAGGCGGGCTAATCCGAGATGCTCCGCGGCTGCTGGAGCTCCGTTGACACCGGCCCGCTTTCATCATGCTCTGCAGACGGTCGGCGAGGTAAGCGTGACCGCCGCGCACCGACAGAGGAGACGGGTTTACACGATAGAGAGAGCCGGACTCGGCGGTGCGAGACACGGGCGGTGATTTGGTGAGAGCGGCTAGCTCGCCTGCCTTTGTTGGAGCGGATGATGGTTTCTGAGAAAGACAGAGGAAGACAGAAAGCCATCTGATTTGCTGCAAGTCGAGGCAAGCGTGTCAAAACAACGCCAGCCTGCCAGTCTGCATTCCGCCATACTTAGCCTTTCCCCGTCTTTATGCACACAGACGGAGCTTTTTCGGCTCATTTTGTCCGCTGATTTAATGTAGTTGAACGGAAACGTAGCTGTGCCGCGCAGCCATTGCAGTGCGAAGGGATTACAGGATAAAGAGTCAGCTTGCTATTCTCTAATCAGAAGTCACTCAGATGTACCTCGCTGTGGTTTGTTTGCATTTGCAGTGATAATGGTGATGGCACTGGCAGTGCTGTGTTGCGAAATGGATAAAGAATGCATGCTTTGCATGCACTGTTGCCTTTGTGGTAGCACTGGTTAGCCGAAGTGACTTGAAGCTTTTCCTGTGTAGCCCAGCGTGTTCACATGAAAACGATAACAGTGCACAGCAGCCCTCATTATCACAGCATTACAGCACAGTATAAACACTGTATGCGCCAGATTCTGTAAACTATTTTTATATATGCAGAGGTTTTAAAAGGAATAACAGCCCTCCTGCCGCGTTTCATTTCTCTAATGAGGGTGGTGTTAGTCATAATCTGAAACTGATTTTTTTGGATCGAAACCCCACATATAAATATTTACTTTGTTTACTGTGTTGCTTGCTGAGTTGGCCTGGTGTGATCCACACAAGCTTGCGTTGAGCACTGTTTGTTGGATTTCTTCTCGTAACGTAACACCCTCTCCTTTTTTCTCTGTCGTTTTTCATCCCCACTTCTATTTTCTTCTTGATTCTATGCTTCACACACTCTTGCTTAATGCTCTCCGCTTTTGTCTCCGTCTTTGTTCTTGTGTCTTCATGCCTATTTCATGCTGTTGGATGAACACCTCATTCTCCAACCTTTACACCCATCTACCGTGACAAATTACTCAGAATAACCAGTTCCTTTTTGTCCAGCAGGAGGATGCGGTGGCTGGGGTGCTATCGGCTGGGACCGATGTGGAAAGCAGTCCTGGTGTTTGTGGTCATTGCCTTCGCTGGTCAGCTCCTGGGGGTGCTCTTCAATAAAAGGTCAGAGGGTGTCTTATTCCCCTTGGAAACATGGCTTTTTTGTACATTTTGCTCGTGGCATTGCTTCCTTTGTCTGTCTGATCTTGATGAACCCCTGCATATTACAGTAACAGAATGTGTCATTGCTGAAATGCATCAAGCCTTTTCCAACTGTAAAAATAAAAATAAATTCCTAGAATTGTTTAATGTTTAATTCTTAGTGTTTAGTTCTTTTTGTTTTGCATGAGGGCAACAGACACAAACTGTGTGTTACTTGTCAAAGAGGAAAACAGATCATGATTAAAGTACATCAGCTATGATCTTATGAAGATCTTTGTTCGGTTTGCTGGTCTGTTTTTCTCTGCTGTGTCTCAATTTCTCCAATAAGTGGAACTCTATTTAGACATACGCTATTAACTATATACAATTGGGAATAGCAGTTTTTTTGTACAAACAAAACCGTGTGTCTTTGAAAGGTAACTTTACAGGAGAAGGAAATAACATTCTTAACTTTCAGGGTATGTTAATGTAATGAGATTCTATTCCAGATCATTTTGATTGGTAGATTCTTTGTGAAAGGGCATCTGGTATTTTCAGAAGCTGAAAACAACAAATTTTTGTTACAACACCGACAGTATAATGTTGCTGTTGTCTGACAGAATGCTGTTCAGAGTAAATAGAGTCACAATGCCATTCAGAATAATTACATTTATTAATTTTGTGGAGCTCTATCAAATATATTTCTCCTCTGGGTTTTTTGTTTAGTTCTTCTGTTGCCCTCACTCTTTGTCCTTTTCCCTGGTTTGTTTCACCTTTCTGTCCTACCTTGTTCTCTTCTTACCACCACCTTACTTTTAGTCACTTTCTATTCATTCACTTTATCTCCCTCCTTCTGTGAGAAAAACAGAGAGGCTTCTTTGTTTCCTCCCTCTCAGCTGATTGTTCTCTATCACAGTAATGTCCTCTCTCCTTTCCTTTGTTCGCTAGAGTGCACAGGACCTTCACTCTTTCTCTAATGTGCTGCTGTGCTGTGTGCTTTCCTTTCTAAAACAGACGCTTTATCATTGCCATAGGCCTCATACTGTTTTCCTCTCACTCCTTTAGCTGGGTGCAGCCAGAGCGGCCTCGTTCTCTGTTCTCCATCTCCTCTGAGAACGGCCAGGTGCCTCCACAGGGCTCCTGTCGGCCACACACCCATGTCATGTTCCTGAAGACCCACAAGACAGCCAGCAGCACTGTTCTCAATATGCTCTACCGCTTTGGTGAGGAGCAGGGCCTACGCTTTGCCCTCCCAGTGGGCTACCAGTTTGGATATCCTCTACCCTTCATAGCCCAGAGGGTCAAAGGGTACAGGGGCCCCCATGTAGCAGAGTTTGACATCATGGGAAATCATATGCGCTTCAACAAGCCAGAGGTATGAAAAGCTGTAACTTTTGACTGTTATCAGTTGGTTTTCAGATTTGCATGAGATGGCAGATGTTTTGCATTGTTTTTTGTGAGAGCTGTTTTTTAATATAGAGCTGTATGCTAGTGAAGTTTCTTCTCAACGTGTTTGCTGTGAAATTTTTGTATATATCCTCCATATTCCCAGCAATGAACCTGTGAATTCAAGCAGACCTTCTAAATGAGTTTAGTTTTATCTCACAGATAGATAGCAAAACAGCTTTCACTACCGTTTTTCCCCACCCCCGAGGCTCATTATATAGGTGCATGTAAGGTGTATAAGTAGTTCAGAGAAATTATATTCGTGGTAATGGTCTCTGACCAGAGCACACCCCAGAGACTCATTTAACTTAGATGGCACTCTACGCATCTCTTGGCAGCTCCACCCACTCTGCTTGCTGAGGGGAGTGCTGAACTTTTATACTGTTCCCAGTTGAAAATGTGAAATTATTGCATGTTCCAGCAAATGCAGGCTTTGCATTACCAGTGGGATGTCCTCAGGGATTGTGCAGGGGAAGGTGTCATTCAGGCCTTTCAGTAATAAGAATGTGGGTAGTTTGAGCAAATAAAATCTTGGGTGTTTTAATTTGATTTTTAAAAAATCCTTTCTTCTCTTTTGCTACAGGTGGAAAAAGTCATGCCTGCAGACACCTTCTGTTTCTCTATTTTGAGAGACCCTGTGGCATTAGCGGAGTCCTCCTACGCTTATTATAAAAATGTTGCCCCTGCCTTTAGACGTGCAAAGGGACTGGGCGATTTTGCAGACAACCCTCGCAAATATTACGATCCTCGCTTGCGCAACAACCACTACGCCCGCAACCTGCTGTGGTACGACTTTGGCTTGGATCACAACGCCAACTTCTCCTTGGCTCTTGCCAAGCGTGGTGAAGCAACAGTACGACGGAACTTCAGACTCATCCTTCTGTCCGAGTACTTTGATCAGTCCATGGTGCTGCTTCGTCATGCCCTCTGCTGGCCTCTTGATGCTGTCGTCTCTTTCAGCCTAAATGCCAGGCAGCAGATGCCCAAAGGAAGGTCAGGCTGGGTGGGGAAGGCTGCTGCCCCGGCCCCTCTGGCCCTAACCGAAGAGCAGAGGCAGAAACTACGGGAGTGGAATGCCCTGGACTGGCATCTCTACCAAGCTTTCAACCGCACTTTCTGGGCCGAGGTGGAGCGATTTGGCCGGGCGCAGATGGAAACGGAGGTGATCTTGCTGAGGAGCAGGCGGGAGATCCTGGCTCGTGTGTGCCTGCGTGACGGGGGCCAGCCCGTGGAAGCCAGTCGTATCCGGGATAAGGCCATCCGCCCCTTTCAGAGTGGCCTGGTGAAGATCTTGGGCTATGAGCTTCAGCCTGGACTTGATAATGCCACAAAGGAAGCCTGCCTACGCATGATTAGGCCAGAGATCCAGTACAAGGACCTGTTGGATCTCCGGCAGTTTCCACGTGCCCAGCAGCCCCCAGGGCCAGCAGTTGCTGCTGGTGGGGCTGCTGTCCGGAGGGACCCTTTGTCCTCCAGGACTGGAGAGCACTTGGGGGAGTCAATAGAGAGGGACTGGGATAGAACCATACTGGTGCGTAATCAGTCTATACAGCAAGTGGACAGTAAGGGAAAGCTTAGATAGTGAGGGAGCTAGTCACACCCATTTGCCTCAAGGTCAGACATAGGCCTAGTTTAAGATAGGCTCTAATGGGCCTCTGCACTGCACTACTTAGAGCTGGAGTCAGATACTGGACTTGTAGCACTCCGCTCGGCTCCCGAACTCTTCCTCATCTTGTCCTTCTCCACTGTCATAGACGTCATTGAGTAAAGAGAACTTTTTTAGAGGGACACAATGGTACAAACCATCCACACGATGCAGATGGCTTCATTATACAACTGTAGGACTAGTGCATGTTGGACGATCTAGGTGAGCAGCTCATTTACTTCAGTGTCTGCTTGAAATGAGCTGTGATATAGTATGAAAGCATCCTTCATGCTACACTCTGTCTCTCGCACAAACACACTTTACATTTCATTCTACACAAGTACACACAGACACTTAGGCTTGTGGTCACATCGCACTTTTTGACATTGACACTGCTTTGGTATCCGGTGACAACGCTGAAATATAGTGCAAAAGCTATTGACTGGAGTGAAAATGCCACTAAAGCAAAAGCTTAAACCCTTAATTGTCTGGCACATCACTCTGAAATAAATGCGAACGAGTAATGTCTTTATTTAGAGGGGCTAGACATTCATTTATGGTAAGTACATCACTGTAACTCTCCAACAGCTAGCCCTACAAGGAAAAGGCTGTAGAAGGAATACACCCTGTCCAGAGGCCTAGAATAAGAGCAGACATTACATTAAGCTTTTTTTGTCATAAGTTATTACAGTGATGACTCTTTGTGGGTCTGTGAAAGTGACGTCTCCAGTTGATGACACTGTGAAATAATTTACCATCTAGTACATGCATTATTGCCAGCCTCTCGTCCATCAAAGAGAAAACACTGTTCTACTCATGGTGATCTACCTCTTGGCAGCTTGTCAGAGGTTGATATTTTCTGTTATTTATGTTGTATTGTTAAATATCTCTGTTTAGAACGGTAGATATTTGTCGTTCTGCATTCAGTTCAATCATAACACAGTACTATAGTATTGCCCATCATGTCAGTTTTGCCTTTCACAGAGGTAGTTTGTTAACTACGATGATGTGATACCACTTGACGGACTATATGTCTGTAATTTTGTGCATGATGATTCTGAACAGTTATTCTAGATCGATCAGAGAAATGAATTTACGGTGAACAAAAACACTAAGAAATTAAATGTTTGTAGATGGTGAATGTTTGGCGGCATGGAAAATACTAGAAACCTAGTATGCCAGAAGACTATCACATACACTTTGTCAGTACACAACCCAGGGAACTCCATGTCCAAATCTAAAACAAATTTAGTAATTTTGCCTTATTGGAGCAGGGCTTGACTTTGAAAGCTTTCTGTATTTATTATGTTTTTGTAAAACATTTCTCAGTATATGTAATGCATTTCTATTTTCAAAATGCAAGTGTCTCTTCCACACTAAAATTGATGAGATGTAATTGTAGTGTTTGAACTTGACTGGAATGCACTGTGCAGCTCGATATAGCTCAGCATATTAACAGCTTATCGTATGCAACTTCCAATGCGCGCAGAGTACGCATCTTCAGATGTATTAATTTATTACTTTTCAGTTTAAGCATCATTATTAAAGAAAAACATTCCATGCTTGGCCATCGTCATTATAGTAAGTGAAGAAATGTACTGTATGTTAAAATACTTTATGCATGTTTACAGATAGCATTGACTGACATGAGTGTTTGATAGAAAACCAGTTTAATTTCTCAGTAGTTGTCGCACTACAGCTTCCTCTTAATATATTTGCTACACTTTGACTTGATATGTTAGCATAACTTACTTTTCTTCCATCATATATTTTAGCAGTCCATTAATATCTCAAGCCTATGGCAATATCTGTAAGGAGATGCAGGAGGTAGACAAAACATGACAAACACCAGGTGAAAGAGGCGTAGCATGTTAAAGCAACTAAATCTGTTTTAAAGCAATATTTGCTTTTTTATTCGTAAGATTATTAATATACCTTTGTGCTATAAAAGACTTCACATTCTAGAGCAATACTGACAGTTTGTGATAGAAACAGTGGAAACTAATCAAAGGGTACAGTAAGGCAGCGTCATATGAAAAAAGGAAAAGATGATGCAGTATGGGTGAAGTGGTGGTTGAAAATTGAAGCTGAGCACAATAAAGCCTCCTTGGTCTCAACTAAAATTGCACACCATTAGATTCTCCAAATTCATTCCTGGTAAGGCTGCCAATTGCCAACCTCCGCCACCACTTCAAAACAACAGGAAACCACATGTGGTGAGTGGAAGAAAGCAATATCAATTGTATCTGTAGTTTTCTTGTTGTCTTGTAATCTACATCTGCGGAAGCTTTTCTTTTGAGAAAGCAGATGGAAAACCTGAATCCGAATTGCCTGCTCCCAGCACTTCATTATTTCGTTAGTACTGGTGTAACAGTGTGCAAAGAAGTCCTTATTACTGATACCTATGAACATTCCCTGGTGTTTCCATTATTTTGTCTACCCCTATAATATTTTGCTTGTGTGTCACAATGCATTTCAAGGATGAACATCCTACAGTCCAAAACGGTACAAGTACATTACCTGTGGTACTTCGCTTAAAGGTACACCAAAGAGTTGCAGATACTTCTTAGGTATGAAATATGGAACTTGTGACTGTGAAAATGGACATGGAAATAGGTTATCGATCAGATAGCATCAACACTCTTCACTGTTGGGAGGAAATCAAACAAAGCAACGCCTAAGACCCAAGCAGTTGCAAAAATAAATCAACTAGTGTCTGAGTCATCATGAATTTGATGCAGCTGACACCAAGTGACATCTTAAAAGGAGACGTCTGAGAAACATGAAAAAATGTGAAAAAGGTTAATTGGTGAGCAAGCTGTCAGAAATGACAGTAATACCACTTTGCTCACTCAGCGATCTTTCCTCAGTACCAGAATCCTCTGTCTATGGTTAAAATTCAACATGAATTCAGTTTGCAGTGCAACACTTGAGGACTCTGACACCATTATAAGTGTTGAACAGTACAGTGAATATTATTTCTCTCTTTCTGGCTGAGCTGTTTGAACCTTGGCAATCTGTGTACAATATTTATTCTCTTTGTTACTTGAAAATTGGGGTTTGTTTGAATATCTGGGTGTGTGTTGGATCTGGTTTACTTGTATGTAGTGGAATGGAATAAAAAACTTTCAGTAACAGAAGTGAAGTTCGTCTTCCTGTTTTTTATCAGTATAGAACTAACATATTTAAGAAAAAAAAAACTAGGAAAAAAGCTATGCATCACTGCATGTACACATGCGAGTTGTAGTATGGATGCACGATGATATCGCAATCATATCAATATCGACCAATAATGGCTTTTGTTGCATTTATTGAAGAGAAGAACGTTTAGCTACTGATAGAATATCTGAATTGTATTAATTTTGCTGCACTTGTAGCCATTTATAAATAATATAATGTTTCTCTGCAATCCTAAACGTGGTAGCTGTAGTCCTAATTTCGTCATTGTATGAATGTTTGTGCATCGGCCAATAACTTTAAATTAAAATATTGGTCATTGCCATTTGGCCACAGTCCCCATATCGGTGCGTTCCTACCTAGTAGCTGAATGTAGTATTGACTTAGTTTCATATTTAAGCAAATTTAAAATCCTTTTTTGGGGTAATCTTTTGTCTGTGGTCAGTTTTACAAGCACAGACTGGACAACAGTCTCAGTAATGTTAGTACGCTAAATCACAAAACTGATAGCACAGCCGCAGAGTTGTTTATTTTTCTCGGCATTCGACTACTCCTGCCTGGTCTTCCACACAGCGCCTTTGACTCGATTCTATCTCGCCTCGATTCACAGGTCTCTAGGCTGGTTTGAATGTACAGAGCTGGAGCTCCAACATGGCACTGAATAGGACGGGTTTTATATGGGTTTATTTTGGACAGCTGTAATGTGCAGAGACCCGTCCAACACACAAACAAGGCTGACTGGGGCGTCTAAACGGGGGACAGGGTGTGAGTTTGATTCTGCTAGCTGTTCAGGCTAACCGGATATCTTAGCTGGTTTGGTGGCGGATAATAACGCAGCAGCCATGGTCCTGATGATGGAGTCGCAGTGCGAGTATTTTATGTATTTCCCCGCCGTGCCCATTTCGGACCTGTCCGACCCAGCTCGGTACCGCACCCTCCCGCGCCGCAGCCACCTCTACCTGGGCGAGACGGTGCGCTTCCTGCTGGTCCTGCGCTCTCAGAGCTCGGCGGACGGCGGCGCGGAGCAGCCCGGCAGCAGCAGCCGCTGCTCGTGGAGGGAGCTGGCTGGCTCTCTGTGCGCCGTGGCCAGCGTCTGTCCCGGAGACGGCAGGCAGCGAGCACCGCCGCTTTACCACGACTACCAGAGCAGCGGGGACGAGTGTGTGGAGGACACGGACGACGAAGAGGCAGGGGCGGGCTGCGCGGCGGCCAGAGGCGGCTCCAGGGCCCGGGGCTTCAGGGAGTGCAAACCTCTCCTCATCCACAACAACCCGGCCGGCAGCGGGAGGGAGTTCCGCAAGGCGCCTCTACAGGTGAGACACACGTTAATGCAGATAAAAACGGAACGGCAAAACGGATAAATGCAGTAAGACACCGTCTTAAGTCATTAGTCTGAGACGACGAGGAAGTGTTGACGTTTCCTCTGTAAACACCATTCGTATGCAGCCCCCCAATTTCCCCCAACCTCCTATCTTCAGCTATCCGGTGGAGAATCATATAATTTTCGTTTTTTTTTCAATACAGAGTTGTATGTAGTATGTAAAATTTCAAAACGTGCTGTTCACTCCATGCAGTGCTCATGTGAAAAAGCTGCATAAAACGGACCAACAACCCCCAGTTTTTGTGATGTCACGACAACCAATGCATTTACAGCGCATTGCCGCCCATTCAGGCTGCAGTTTAGCCCCGCCCATTCACACTGACGTTAAAAAGAGTGTTTCGGTTGGGACTTATTTTTGAATGAGCCAATCAGAACAGAGCTCATTTACATATATCAGTCGTAAGGGAAACATAGTAAATCAAACTGCGAAATGTGAGGTGTCTGCCATTTTGGCATATTTACCTTTTGTAAAAGCATGTGATTCTACAGGCTGTTAGGGTTTGCTGCTTGATCCTGTGATAAATTGAACAAACGTTCCACCCCACTCGAATAAACACTTCCACACATCCAGCTCTCACACTTTCAGTCGCAGCTGCTGTTTTCCATGTGGCCTTCTCTGAGGAACAAGACAGCATAAAACAGCAACGTAATGCAACTGTAACGTGATTGATTCAGCAGACTCTATTTCATTGGTATTCACAGGTGTTCTGTGGGCAAACTGGACTATATTATGTGCTCAGTAGAGTAAGTTAGGCGTATAGCTCAAGGCCCAGACACACCAAGCCAAGGAAGAGCTAGAGTTAAGCAAAGGCGATGATCAATTTCTGTCAGCTCATCACTGCCTCTCGTCTCCTGTCAAAATTTGTACCTGAACACATTGCAGAAACTATAGCTGGCGGCTGATTTTATATGTGTATATATATATATATATATATATATATATATATATGTATATGTATGTATGTATGTGTGTGTGTTAGGGGTGCGGGAAAAAATCGATTCTTAGATGCATCGTGATGCGGACGTGAACAATTCTGAATCGATTCACAAATGTCAAAAAGTCTGTGGCGGCACATAGCAAAAACACAAGTGGAAGAGCGAGAAACCCGACCGGCAGCCTCTGCATTAAAGCCAGGTTTGGTCAAGAGTCACAACACCAAATGTTAACATTTTGTCCATTCAACAAAAATCAAACCACCTTGGGAGCCGCAACATTTAATGTCCAGTATGTCTCAGTATGTGATGATGTCCCAGTATAGGCTAAACAATATAAACGAAAACGCAGATTTACTTCGCTCTGCTTTAAGCTTCAGCTACAGCCGCTTTCCTTCCATCTCCGCCAGAAAACTTTTCCTCAGATGTAGATCAGTTTCTTGTAAAATGTTCGGCTGTTTTACGAGGCTGAAGTCGTTTCTTATTCTCCAGCTTCTTGTTTGAATTTACCCGTTCCACCTTAAATTCTGCCTGAGCCACCGAATGTAAATGCGACACCATTTAAGGTGGAACGGGAGAATTCGAAAGAGAAGCTGACTTCAGCTTCGCCACTTTTTAGTGTTTGACAGTCTCTCGTTGCAGATTTAACGTACCAGGAAACTCATCGTTGCTATGTGACCTGCAGTCTGCACGCCGGTTCTCAGTCGTTTCGAAACAGGGCTTTCGCGCTATGTTTTACACATCCCGTCTCAAAGATACTTTACTGACACAGCGATCCCCCCGTCTCTACAATGAGACCAAAACTAAAGTTATAAAATCACTAAGAAAACGGGCAGGACAGCTGTAACGTGCTGCGTGGACATCCATTACCACTGGATCTTATTTCACCGTAACTGCGCATTTTATCGCAGATGAGTAGCAGCAGCTTCTCCTACTCCAAACAAGAGCACTGAATGAGAGCCTTCTAGTTCACTTGCCACATCACTTCCATTTGTTTTATTAAAAAAGATATTGGAAGTAAATTCATTATGGATCTTTACAAATACTTTGCTTTAAAAGTACCAAGTCACTTTAAGTAACAACACTGAGTCACTTAGTCTTTATACTTGTATATTGTCTCTATATTCTGTGTATATTTTGTGTATATTTAATATATTTCAGTTGGTTTTTCTTGTATTTTTATTTTTACTTATTTACTTTCTGTAGAGTGATTAGCTGAGCCTCACCACAAGCATTTCAATGCATAAATGTCCTGAGATGTTGTGCAAATGACAAATAAACTTGAAACTTGAACTCGAAACTTGAGCTCACACAGTGAGAAAATATAAATGCTATATAGAAAAAAAGATGCATCGAGATGCATCGATAAGTTTTATAATTGATCATATATATGTGAGGTATATTACTATATATATATGTATGTGTGTGTGTGTGTGTGTGTGTATATATATATATATATATATATATCTCCCGTTCCACCTTAAATGGTGCCGTATTTATATTCGGCGGCTCAGGCAGAATTTAAGGTGGAATGGGTAAATTCAAACAAGAAGCTGGAGAATAAGAAACGACTTCAGCCGCGTAAAACAGCCGAACATTTTACAAGAAACTGATCTACATCTGAGGAAAAGTTTTCTGGCGGAGATGGGAGGAAAGCGGCTGTAGCTGAAGCTTAAAGCAGAGCGAAGTAAATCTGCGTTTTCGTTTATATTGTTTAGCCTATACTAGGACATCATCACATACTGAGACATACTGGACATTAAATGTTGCGGCTCCCAAGGTGGTTTGATTTTTGTTGAAAGGACAAAATGTTATCATTTGTGTTGTGACTCCTGATCTAACCTGGCTTTAATGCAGAGGCTGCCGGTCGGGTTTCTCGCTCTTCCACTTGTGTTTTTGTTATGTGCCGCCACAGACTGTCCGGGCGCTGCACTTCGGCACTTCCAAGTTCTGCCTTTAGTGTTCCATCAACATTACGTTATAAATTAAATATTTAGAAAATCGATTTTTGACATTTGTGAATCGATTCAGAATCGTTCACGTCTAAGATGCATCTAAGAATCGATTTTTTTCCCGCACCCCTAACACACACACACACACACACACACACACACACACATATATATGAATAAATAAATGTAAATAAAAACAAAATTCAATGATGTGCAAATCATTTAAATCCTATATTACATTGAAAATAGTCTAAAGACAACACATCAAATGTCGAAACTGAGAAATTTTATTGTTTTTGTAAAATATTTGTCCATTTTGAATTTGATGCCAGCAACGCGTTCCAAAAAAGTTGGGACGGGGGCAGCAAAAGCCTGGTAAAGATGTGTTATGCTAAAAAAACACCTGGTGGTTAATTGGCAACAGGTCAGTAACATAATTGGGTATAAAAAGAGCATCCCAGAGAGGCTGAGTCTTTCAGAAGTAAAGATGAGGAGGGGTTCACCACTCTGAAAGACTGTGCAGGCAAATAGTGCAAATATTCAAGAATAACATTTCTCAACATAAAATAGTAAAGAACTTATGCTTTTCATCATCTACAATACATAATATCATTAAAAGATTCAGAGAATCTGGAGAAATCTCTGTACGCAAGGGACAAGGCGGAAAACCAGTATTTGCTGGCCGTGACCTTGGGCCCACAGGCAGCACTGCATTAAAAACAGACATGATTCTGTAGTGGAAATCACTGCATGGGCTAAAGAGCACTTCTGAAAAACACTCTATGAAAACAGTTTGTTGCTGCATCCACAAATGCTAATTAAAACTCTTAAACGCAAAGTAGAAAGCATTTATAAAGAGAATCCAGGAACGCTGCCTCCTTCTCTGGGCCCATGAGCTCATTTAAAATGGACTGAGGGGAAGTGGAAAAGTGTCCTGTGGTCCGATGAATCAACATTTAAATTTCTTTTTGGAAATCATAGACACTGTGTCCTCCAGGCTAAAGACCACTCAGCTTGTTATCAGTGCACAGTTCAAAAGCCAGTATTCATGATGGTTTAGGGGTGCATTAGTGCACATGGCATGGGTGACTGGCACATCTCTGAAAGCAACATTAATGCTGAATGATATATACATGTTTTGGCAACATATGCTGCCACCCAGACGATGTCTTTTACAGGGAAGGCCTTTCTTATTCCAGCAAGACGATGTCAAACCACATTCAGCATGTATTACAACAGCATTGCTCTGTATTAAAAGACTCCAGGCGCTGAACTGGCCTGCCTGCAGTCCAGACCTGTCTCCACTGAAAACATTTGGCACATTATAAAATGAAAAATATGACAAAGGAGACCCCGAACTGTTGAGTAGCTGAAATCCAATATCAAACAATAATGAGAACACATTTCACTTTCAAAACTACTGCAGTCATTCTCCTCAGTTCCCAAAAGCTTACAGAGTGTTGTTAAAAGAAGAGATGTTGAAACACAGTGGTAAACATGCCCCCGTCCCAACTGTTTTGAAATGTGTTGTTGGCATCAAATTCAAAATGGGCAACAATAAAAATTCTCAGTTTCAACATTTGATTTATTGTCTTTGTACTATTTTCAATTAAATATAGGGTTTAAATGATTTGCACATCATTGAATTTTGTTTTTATTTACATTTTGCACAGCATCCCAACTTTTTTGGAAATGGGGTTGTATTTTTATTTAAATTTTTACATGTATGTATCTTTGTAATATAATGTCTGAATACTTTTTTCCTATCAATTTCATTTTTTAAAACATATCTTTTTTTATGTTTATGAATACATTTTTGTTTATCAAAGTTCAGTCAAAAAGGCTTTTTTGTGTACATTTAAAGTGGATATATGCAAGTATATGCAAATATAGTAAATTACAAAAACAGAAGTGTCCCCTCTCTGTATTTAAAGCATTCATTGGAACTTCTGGTTTTGAATGTTGGCTGCGTGCCAGGGTAACAGGCCTTGGCTGAGTTGCTGGACGTCACTAGGTTTGTGTGAAAAATATGACATCTGTGTGATGTTTGAGGAGTAGCTCAGCCTGCTCAGCCAGAGACTCTCTTGAAATATTTTCATGTTCATGCCCTTTTTTAGACATTTGAGGTTGTAATTCATTACTTATAGAAAATGTCTTTTTAAAATGTTTCTTGATGTGGGTATGGTTTTCAGGTGCAATCATATTTCAATTTAAATGTTTTCTTGGGGAACTTTGTAGTATGAACCACTAAACCACGAAATTTTGATGATAAAAATCCACAAGCTGTGTTATGAGCAGTTGCAGTGCTGTGTCTTGGTTCATCCATAACCACAGAAGGCTTATAGCCTACATACTAAGATATGAGTATGAGTATGCACATGAGTCTGTTATACATTGATTTCCCAAGAGAAAAAAAAAACAGCTCTCTGATTAAAGTCTTGGTCTTGTGTTAGTGTTTGCTTTGCGGTCTCTGTAGTCACACCCCTTTGTGCAAACCTCTTCTCAGCTTTCCTCAGGACAGGTAACATGGCAGGTCTTTACTGTGCTCCATTACTGTGCAGCCATGATGTTTCCTGGAGAACTAGAGAATTCAAGAGTTTTTTTTCTGCATAATTCAGTCGTGAAGGTTTAAAGAATATCATTCAGAGTGGTTTGATATGAAATGATGCACTGTAGAGAAACCCTGTCAGAATTGTTCACAGTGGTGTTGATATGAACCGGATGTCTGATGCATTTTATGTCTCTAAAAGCCATCCCACACAAAGCTATTACATGCCGTAGTTACAAAGATGTCGTATTATCTTTTGTGATAAGCTTTTGAAAGGGAAGCATCGATCATACATTTTTTATGGCAGATTCTGATTTCTTTTTTTTAACCGGAAGCTCACACTGTGTGGACTAAATGGACAAGAAAGACACTAGCACATAGGGCTGGGCAATATGACAATATTGTCATTGTGATAAATTACATGACAGTATGCCATAATATGCTTTTCTGCCCACCTCTAGTAGCACATTTTCAGAACCTTCTGTCAACCAGAGTTGCAAGATTAATAGCACATATATTTTCTCTTTAACAGGCCAAACTGGCATTTCAAATTCATAAATGAAAAATCAATAAGCTATTTTAATAATTTGAATTAAATAAAGTACTCTGTAAGAGGCAACGGTGAGTCAGGCATAGTTATGCTAAAACAGTTTGGTGCAGTTGTAGCAGCAGCATTGACCGATTGAATAGCCTGATTGATGACTGTGTATTTAGAGCAAAAATCTGCTAGTTCCAATCTCTGCCGATTCTTATCTCTGCCGATTCCAATCAATGCAATTTAAAATGACATAACACATGTAGCTTCGGTAATAGTTTTGGATAGCAAATAAAATGGGTATACTTGCGTTGTAGACATAGCAACCCCTGGTTTCTGTCACCACCTTTGTCAATATTGTAACAAATGTGACTCTGCAAGTTTATCTAGAATGCAGCATTTATCCTCTGATCACTTATCTTAATGAATGAATTATGTGGAAGTTTAGAAGATGGTTTTTAATTCCCTTTTTAATTTCTTTAGTGGAGTTTATCTGTAATGAGAAGAATAGTGTGTTTTTGATGTGTATCTCACCCTTTGCTCTGTGTTTTTCTGACACTGTGGCGTTCAGTCGCCTGCAGATGAACCCGTAGTTCTAAATGATGAAGTTATCTTCCCTCTTACTGTGTCATTGGATAAACTCCCTGTCAGCACGCTCAAAGTGAAGGTAAGTAATTATGTCATTAGCATGTATTAGAGGCAGTAGTATGTGATAGTGGCTCTGATCTTGGAGTTCATCATTTTGTACCCTGTGCTCAGACGTGTCAGTTAGAAGTCCCATGGCATCATTTAGAAGCGGACTAGGTGCTATAATGTGTGTGTGTGTGTGTGTGTGTGTGTGTGTGTGTGTGTGTGTGTGCACTATATCATAAAAAATATATAATAAAAAATATTGTCCACGTGCTTAGAGTGGTCTTGTATTCCATTAACCTCTTAACAAGCCATAGGCCCGCTGAGTTTCCTTAGTTTGCACTGAAGTCCATGTAGTTACTGACTTATAAGCCTTTGTATGAAATAAACCTGGATTGTTCAGGGGTTAATATGTGCCTATATTTGCATCTGTCTATATGGATTTTACAGGAAGATGTCTATAAATTGAAATAGGACACTCAAAAAGGCTCCTTGGTCCTTGAAAAGGTTTTGTGGTTTTTGTGATGTAACCATTTAAACATAGAAAAACTAGTGTTAGTGTATATTTAATGTATTATTAGGACATTTCCAATAACCACAGTCATAATGGGCATCAGAGCTCAAAACACAGACAGGCAGGGTTATTATAGACAAATCCATAATCATAAAGTGAAAGAGAAGTAACAGCAAAAAACTGGAACAGAGAGATGATGATGGAAGGGGGCCAGAGTGGAGTTTCAGAACTCGGAGCAGGAGGACACCAGACTAGAGAAGGCATGATGGCTAAAGATGCTTTTGAAATGAGAAGAGCCATGAGCACAGGGAAATGTTAATACTACTTAACAAAATATGCTTTTAAGCACTTTTAAGTAGTACTGCAGCAGTGTCCTTCATCATTACCAAAATATTTCTGGTTCACATTTTAGCATGTGCCACAAAAATGTATGAATATTTGCAAATTGTGACTTACATCAGGAAATTACATATGAAAACATGAAATTATATCCTTTTTTGTCAGAAATCTTTCTAAGTAAAACCAGTGCTGTTGTTTATTTAGACTGATGAAATGGCTCTTTTTACAGCATATTGATTCTTCTCTGAAGCTTTTTTGTCCTTACTGCTGGTGGGAGTGGCGTTTGTGAGTTTATATTTTGACTGGGTTTTGTGCAGATTATTGTGACCGTGTGGAAGCGGGAAGAGGAGAAGGCTGAGATACAGGAGCATGGCTACCTCAGCATCCTTCAGCAGAAGAGCCCCTGCCAAACCTTCCGCCAAGACCTCAACACCTTCAAAGCCCAGGGTGAGCACTCAGTAAAACAGGACAGCATAGCATTATCTTTAATAGTTCCAAAAACACCCACAGTTGCCACGTCAGTGTAGTCATTCAAAAGCTGTTACATTTTTTGGTTCTGTTTTTCTGTTCTCCGTGTATTTTCATTCTTTGGTCAAACTTGCAAGAACCTGCAAACCGTTAACATTGTACTCAGCAAAAGACATTCTTGTGTGTTCCAGATACTCAGTTTTCTCAAAGACTGATTGGCATTTTGCAATGTAATGTTAAAAATATATATCGGCTTGTGACTCTCGGTGGGGGGAAGTAATCACCTTTCTCTTTCTCTTCTGTCTCTGCTCTCAGTCAGCACCACCCTGAATGTTCTTCCTCCGCCCACAGTGAAGTGCCAGCAGATGACTGTGTCTGGAAGACACCTCACTGTCCTTAAAGGTGCTTTTCGAATGATTCTGTACTCATCAGTGTATTTTAACTAGGAATGTCCCATTCAGGTCTTCTTGCCTTTGCGAATTATTTGATATTGAATGCAGATACCAAGTCCATCTGGTATTTATGTTTTTGTGGATAATGCAGCTGCATACTGTACACTTTAAGCACACTGGAATCAGATATTGATGTTTAGGTTAGATATGCTAGGCTTGCAGTTACTTTAAAATACTCCATTTTACCTTTTCAAGTGACCATTTTATAGTGTCTTAAATAAACGTCAGTTTTGTATTTCTGGGTTGCTACGGTTGCTCTAACATGCTGTTATCCTTACCACTAAATGTGTAGTAGCTGCAAACTCCAATATTACAGGCTGCTAGTTTACCCATGTTTTAATTAAAGGCTAGCAGATATTACAAGTGGCTGCTTGGCTGCTTCTTTCATTTTCCACTTTAAAATCGTTTCACATTGTAGACATTTAAGCTCATTGTAAACTTTGTGGAAATAGAACACGGTGAGGTAAAATAGCCTTAAATCATTCAAATTTGATCAGATTGTACTATTAAAATATTGTTTTGTTCCAAAACACATTATTTACCACTTTCAAGAATTTTATTTTTGTTTCATGATATACGGTCCTGGCAGTGGGCTTTGCACATACAGGAAATATCAATTTAGTTATAAATATAATTATGATTATATATAAAGGGGAAGTCCATCAGTTATTCTAAATCTTTGCATAACTCAATCATTAAGGTGTAAACAAAGTTATTCAGTGGTCTAATATGAAATGTTTCATTCTAGTGAAACCTACTAAGTTGAGAGTTGTTCATAATGGTGGTGATAGGAACCAGACATTTAAAGAGTTTAATGCCTCTAAAAGTTACCTCACAGGAAGTTTTTAAAATTTATTCTAATATTTTACCATTTATCTACCTGTGTTTTACCGTTATCAGTGTTATATATAAAAACTCAGAAGACACATGACGTGTCAAATGGATACATTTGCTCTCGCACTCTGAGGTTCCTATCGGCACCACTGTAAAGAAATCTGACTCAAGGAATTCCTGTACAATAATGCATTTCACATCAAACCACTTTGTATGACTTTGTTTACATCACAGCAATTGTATTATGCGTTAATTAAAAAAAAAAAAACAGTGGAATTTCCATTTGACACCACTGTTATTAGAGAAATAAAAATATGTTGTTCGTTAAACATCAGCTGTTCTTTTCAAAACTCATTATATCCAAAATTGTTACAAGTCGATATACAATGTTTCAGAACAAAACACTTCAGTTATTATGTACGGTTATAATATTATATATAATATATAATTATAGTGATGTAATGTTAACAGCTGCTATTACATTGTAATTGTACATTATAACAGTTATAATTATAATGTTATTATTCTTGTGTCAGCTTGTCAGAACAGGGTATGTTTTAGGCAGCATGTGATGCTGATGATGATGTTTAATGCACAGACAAAGTTATGCAAAGTTATTCTGTGCATATTTGATTTGGCCATATTCATAACTTTTAGAATAAAATGTAAAACATTTTAATTTATATGGCTACTGTGACATAATTTATGATTACCTTGTCTGTTTCTAATGCTTATCTAAGGTAAAATCTAAGTTCAAAGAGAAAGAAAAATAAAAACAAAGAAAGGAGATACTTTAATATTATCATAGAAGTATTCCTCCCCAGGCCTAATCCACCCAGTCTCCTGGGGGAGATGTATAACTATAATTATCTGTGAAACATTTGTGTGTGAAGAGAAAAGAGAAAATATAGCGAAAGAGAGGTAGAGAAAAACTAATTAAACAGATAAAGCTGTTTGTGCAGAGTAAAAAACATTAACTGAGGCTGTGGTTATGTTGGAATATTCTGAAAAGAAGCTCTGCTGAAAGCAAGCAGTGCGTAATTGAACTCCACTGGTGAGTGCATGTCATTAAACAGGCCCTCTGAGGATATCTGATATAAGGGTGAAGAGAAGAACATACTCCTGTATTATTACAGAATGATTCCTTCCTAGGCCCACTCCACCCAGTCTCCTGGGGAGCATAAAGAGTGAAATGTTTTTAATTTTGGAGGTTTTACATGACACTCCACAAAGATTTAATGAATTATGTTTGGACAAAACAGGCTAAAATTACTTGTACATATTTATATTGTAGTGCAACTATGGATTTAGCAGTTTGTCCACAAAGTCATATCCTCAGTTGGAGGATATTGTTATGCTGCATGACTGAAGCTCCTTTGTGTAAGCTTCCTGCTTGCTTCTCACAGTGTTAAATGGGAGCTCTCAGGAGGACGTGTGTGTGCACGATGTCAGAATCCTGCCCAACTTCAACGCCTCGTATTTACCCATGATGCCTGATGGCTCCGTGCTGCTGGTCGACAATGTGTGGTATGGTCTTATACACTTTTCTGCTGTAAAATGACTGTTTGTCAGGTAAACTGTGCTTGTTTAATTACTGAGCACCTCTTTAAACACAGCTTCGACAGGTGCGTAGGCCCTAAATAAAGACCACTGAAGAAGTACATGCCACCCACATGCTGGGGAAAAAATATCGTCACTGTCAGATCAAAACCTTGTAAATTTTTTTCCCTTTGAAAACCTCAGCTGCCTTTTAGAATTTGTGAAACATAAGGACCAATGGAGCAATAGAAGTGGTCTGCAATTGCTTTAAATACAGCATTGTAGAATTATCCTACCCTTTTAAAACTGAACGCCTTTGCTGTAACTGCAATGATACATTTAAGGCTACAGGTTTCTAAACTATTTATTCTTGGCTTGTTTACAAAACCGAATCACCTAAACAGAAATGTAAAAAATGCTAAAGAGAAATTGAGTGGCGCAAGTGTCTAAGCATCGGCCCTGTTGTTAGGAGATCACAAGTTTGATCCCTAGTGATACCACAGCCTCCAGGGGCTGAAAGTCCAAGAGACCTTAATTAGCATTGCTCTCTCTGGATGGGTAGGATGGCCCTCCATCTCCCCTCGTCACTCAACATGCTGCTAACCAACGTCATCTGTTAGCCGATGTATTATAATTGAGAGTAAACATTCTTTTCCAAGCGTGTTGAGCTGTCCAGTGACGTAGTGTTCAAATTGATGCAGTAGCTGGCTTTTTCCCAGCTTTGTAGCATCATGTGACAGAGGGAGACCTAACTGGGTGGAAATTGACTATATTAAAGGGAAAACTGGGTAAAAATCCAATAAAAGAAAAGTATGGAATGAATAAAGCTCATCTCCAATGAACGTTTCTTCTGTAATTCGTCTTTTTGTTATATTTTATGTGATTTTATGTAGTTCACAATATTAAATGCTTGTTTGTAACTGTGTCTTGGTTGGTGTGGAGTGTTCATTCTCAATGTCTGTCTTTATTCAGCCATCAATCAGGCGAAGTGGGCATGGCGTCTTTCTACAGGATGGACAGCGAGTCTAGTCACCTACCCAGTACTCTCAGTGCCCTGGAGGAACAGAACTTCCTGTTTCAGCTGCAGCTTAGTGACCAGGCACAAGACGATTCAAATGAGGTCTGAATGAATAATGAATGCTGATGATTCTAAAATCATTTTACTTATTTATGAGTTCTATTTTTTTTTATAATTAATTCAGAATTTATTATAATTCAATTTAATTTTAGATTTTGTGTAAAACAACAAAAAAGCTTATTTGCCTGCTGTATGAAGCCTTATACAACACTAAGAACAACACACTGGCTTACTGCAAATCAGATACTGCAAATAGATACATAGCATTCAACTTTGGAATAAGATGCCAAAGAATGTTGCAGCGTTTGTTCATGGTAGCACATGTTTAGTATATTAGTTATTAATCTTCTTTTACTATAATTTACTTAAATTTTCTTCTATTTATATTTATTAATTTTGTAATTGTGCCATAATTTCAATAATTCATTACTGCTTAGTGTAATGTTTTAGCTGTCTAATGTTTTGCTTATACTTCTTTATAAACAACTTTGTATTTTGTAGTTAAAAAAGTGGTAAGTAAATATTATTGTTATTATTATTATTATTATTATTATTAAGTATTCAACCCATAAAATAATGTGCTTAAGCTATGTGAATGTTCATTTACATTTTGTAGGGTCTTGAGGTGCCACTGGTTGCAGTCCTCCAATGGTCCACTACCAAGCTACCTTTCACCAACTCCATCTACACCCACTACAGTCTGCCCAGTATCAGACTGGATCGGCCACGCTTCGTTATGACTGCCAGCTGCCCCAGTGCTGTCAGAGCCCAGGAGCACTTCAGAGTCCGATACACACTCCTCAACAATCTGCAGGACTTCCTGGCCGTACGCCTCGTCTGGACACCAGAGGGTGAGAAGGAGGACGGTGAAGGGACGGAGGGTGTGGGGATGGATGGCATGATAGATGGATAAATGATAGAAATAGCTGGATATATGGACAAATGGCAGATGGCACTTTCCAGACGGATTGGTAGATGGTAGGGGAGTAACAATGCACTCATGATATTGCGTTCACAAATTTGAATGAAAAAAAGATGACTGTAGTTATGTTCGTTTTCACGTAAAATGGTCTTGATTTCTGTGGCTGTAAGAGCTAAACAACTGTCTGCAAATGACATCATAAGTGGCAATCATTGGGGTCCAAGCACTGTGCCCAATTGTGGAGCTAGCAGACCATAAATGATGAGCAAAGTTTACAGAATTGCCTCTATTTGTAATAGATGTGTCATCTCATTAGGAAATGTCTGACAGATTTCGTGCACATGTGCAATTTATCCTTGGTATAGTAAGCCACAGAACAGACACAGACTTAACAATTAAGCCAGAAGTACAAATTGGACATTTTCTCCTAGCAACAATGCCACCTAACCCTGCTATGCGTGATCGGTTTATGAACTTGCCACTGTTTTTTAGTGCTCTAGAGTTTTATTGTCTATGCTGATTGCTTGCAAACAAATTCAAGTTCAAATTATGATATTTCATTAGTTGGCATAATTAATAGAATGTCCATTTTCCATGATGCATTGTCATGGACATTGTCATTTTGCATTTAGATGTCATTATGCCACAATGCCTTGTTATATAATGCATGGATAATAAATGGTGGGTCACAGGGTAAAAAAGTTGACTGGATGAGAATGAGGAAAGATGGAGGGTTAGACAAAAACTTGAAAATGAAGAGGGAAGGAATAAAAATAAAAGTACGGATAAAGTGTTAAGCATATAAAAAGTATGCAGACAGAGGATGTAGATAGAGGCGTTAAATCAGATAAGGAAGAGAGTGGTGGATGGTGAGAAACAGTGTGCCAGAAGATGAAATGATAAAGAAAGCTTTAAACGTGCTAACTGAAATGAAAGGAAGTTGTTAAGCTTAAACTGTTCAGTAACTATTATAAATTACTATTAAATTAAAAGATTACAATAATATGTAAGATATGTACATTCAAAACGCAGTCCAGGCTGAAACACTCCTTTTTTCTTAATAAAGAGAAATATATGGGCCATATAGACTGGAAAGAGAATGGCACATTTTGGATTCTTTAACAGTATTTAGCCCTTAAGAACAGAGTAGACAATTTTATCTGTAATTGAGAAAGAGAGATGAAAAGGTAGTATTCACAGAAACTGCAGTACACAGTGGACATTGTTTGAGAGAGTGATTGTGTCCAGATGGCTCTGGGTGCGACTGTATCAGTGATAAGTCTGTGTGTAAAGGACTGCCCAATGAGCTGATGTTAGACTTATTGGACTCAGGTTTTTGGCTGTTCTTATAAACTGTATGTAATACAAACCCTGCAGGTGGAGGGGGGAAATGAAATCTGACTTCAGCTTGAAAATGGACATTAGGTCATTGTAACACATTTTCTGCGTAGTTCTGACTCAGAGATTCCTCAACAACTCTGTCATTCAGTCATTTGTCCAGCCTATTGCTTGTCCTCATTTTTTCTATTTGTTTTGCAGTTTATTGTCTCATCCCTCTCTTCTTCCCATCCTTAGGCCGTGGTCAGAAGGAGGACCCTGCAGTAAATGCTGTAGTTTGTCATTCTCCTCTAAGTAACCTTGGTTACTGTCGCAAAGGCAGCACTCTCTCCGTCTCTGTGGCTTTCCAGATCCTCAAGGCGGGCCTGTTTGAAGTAAGGAGTCTGTTTTAAAGTGGATCCAACTGCTAATAGTACAGTAAAAGCCAAACAAGGCCCTACAAATATGAATATCCCTCAATCCTTTTAAAAAAGATAGGATTTAAAGTAACAATAATAAATAAATAATATAGAAAGAAATAAGTTGTTAAAAATCGTAATTTGTCTGCACTAATTCACATTTAGCTTTACCTCCTAAACTCTAAGCATATTATTCACTTATTAATATTAAAAGGCCCATGTCGTACATTTTTCTTGGTTTTTTTTTTAGGTCCACTTGTAACTTTTGTGTAGATTTATGTACCAAAAATATTCATCTTTTTTTTTACATGACCATTTGTCAACCTCTCTTTGTCCTGTAGAATTAAAAAGGCTGTTTTTGTTACTGTGCCTCATTCAGAAAACAGTACAAGCTGAAACACTTCTTATAACTTTAACTTGAATTGTCCAAGTTGATATAGGTGGATATAATAGGTCAACATATATAAATGCATTGGTTTTTTGTGACATCACAAAAAGTTCAAAAAGGGCTGTTTTTGCTGGTTTCCATATAGGGAAAAATTGGGGATTTGCCCCCATAAGAACAGTGTTCATTTAGTGTAAAGCTAAACCACGTCTGTGCTGCCATTTACATTGTGTGAAAATTTAATTCAAAATTCTTCTGTGATGCAGTTGCATAACTTAGTCTGACTATTCTAATGTTAACTAACTAACGTTGCTGTAAGTGACATAGGTCGCTCATCATATCACTATATTATTCAAATGATTAGGCCTAGGGTTCCCTTGATAAAGATGTGTGAAATAGTGTATGATTTAGCTTACAGCACCAGTCCAGCCCTGGAGAGCATTGATGTGATGTAAGATGGCATTTGCCAGAGAGGTCCAACCTACTTTTTGATACAGTGTGCAATGATGAGTGTTGTCTCCAGTAATAAATCTCAGAGCATGATCCTGTTGTGAGAAAAATGTGAAAAAAAAAAAATCATTGTTTGTTGTGTGTGTAAAACAACTCTTGTATCATCCTACCTCCAGTATCCAACAATGCCTCTCTCTTTTAGCTAAGTCAGCACATGAAGCTGAAGCTCCAGTTCACAGCGTCTGTGTCCAACCCTCCCCCTGAAGCCCGGCCGCTGTCCCGCAAGAACAGTCCGTCCAGTCCTGCCGTCAGAGACATACTGGATCGACACCAGGCCAGTCTGAGCCTGGGCCGCTCACAGTCCTTCTCTCATCAGCAGCCCTCCAAATCCCACCTCACCAGGTATGGAGCAAAGGCTACACAAGCACACACATAAACATAGAACACATGAAGAAAATATGAGGTAGTGCCCACTGCTAGACACTAGAGAAGTCCCTGTTAATGTGCTGCAACGACACCACTTTAATTATGACTCCTAAACAGCAGATCTATGAATGCACACACGTAAGCCATGTTCATACTGGATCAGTTTTACTTGGAAAAGAACTGTGATTTACTAACAAGATTTTGGTCCAGTAGGAGTCTGTAATGTCTATAGCTTCTGATAAGTCTTTAGTGATCTTTTTGGTGTGAATTACCTCTCGTAATTGGCTGAACCCAGAGCTCCTTCAGTAATAGTAATCTTGTGTGAATCTCATGCTAGTGTAATAAATATGATAAACATACACTGTGCTCGTTATTGAGCGTAGCCTGTCGTGTATTGCTGACATGTATACCCAGACTATGATGTTGCTGTCCAGTCTATCTGTGGAGTAATTACACAGATAATTAATCCTATATGAATAGCCAAGTCAAATCCCTTACAATTTACATTGCAGGACCTGCTCTGGTACTCTAATAGCACTTCAGTTTTCCTTCTTAACATCTTATGTATATGAATGCAGACCTCTAGTTCCCAGTCTTGGTCCTGGCCCTGTCCTGCACATAGTGTTTTCCCTGCTCTGACACACTAACATATGCATTTGACTATTAAGCCCTCAGGAAGGGCTTTTTAACCTTTAGAAGACGCCACTACTGCCATCAATAACAAAAGCATGGTGTAGTTCTCATTCGTAACTCATTGAAATAAGTGAAGTTCTGTGCAGATTTGAAACTGATTTTAACGTAATCAGTACCACATTTCTGTTTGGAAGGTTAACGCTTCCTTTTACAGTCCCTTAATTTCTATGTAATAACTAGGTAAGTGAGACTCTAGAGGAGGTATTTCTTTTGGGTAACATGATGGTCAGTACCAAGGCAGTATATCTAAATTGCCCTGAAATGCCCAACAGGTCCTAGGTAAGTATGTGGTACTGTCTTCACAGTACTGTGTAATTATTTTAGGATATAAATAGGTAGTTAAAAGGCTATAAAAAGATTCTTCATGAATGAAAAAAATACAAAGAGTCTTTCAGACTATGGACCTTTATTGTTACCTATATACAAAACTGAGTCAGGGCTATAAAAGAAAGCAATGATTGTAACTATGGTTTTACTGGATCCTCATATCTTTGTACTTTGTGCCGTCATTTTACACAATATTACTAAGCCGGTACTTAAAGGTGGTTCTGATTTACTTTTCTGATTAAATTTGTGAAAATTTAGTGTGAATATGTTTGTACCTACCACCTTGTTACTATGTAATGAAAGAGTTTACTGCCCTTTATCAGCTTAATAGCTAAAACCTGCTGGGCGTTTCAGGGTAATTTAGTTAAACTATCTCCGTATGAACCTGTATGAACATTTATTAAAAAATAAATAAATAACTGAGTTTGCTCTTCACATTCATCCGGTTAATAACTAACAGTGTTACCTTTGTAAGTCGGAGGCATTTTATTCTGATTAGAATTTGATGAAACCTGTTGTGATTCGTGAAACATGCGTTATATTTTTGCCACATTTTTATCATTTCTTGACATTGAAACAAATGGAAAGAAGTCAGAAGTACAGACCTGAAACTGTCTATAAAGCATGTTAATCATTTCCATATGTAATTAATTCCAACGATTTTTAAAAAATTCTACATAATTGCAAACAGAGTAATTCAGAATGGTTTGATCTGAACTGGTGCATTGTAGAAAGACATTGTAGACATTGTAGGTATTCAAGTGTATTCAAGTAGAACACACCTGAGTACCTACAAGTGCATTCTGAGTTTTTATATGCAATGTTGGTAATGGCAAAATAGTAGTAAATCATAATAATGTTATCTTCAAGTATTATTTTTCCTTGCATGTACCTTTCTGCAGTGCATGTGTTAAAAAAGTGTGTTTTATGCCCAAATCAAAACAGTTTAAGACAATTTGTTTCAGGCATCAGGGAGTTTATATGTAACCATTTTATGTAATATCTTTCTGTGGGAGCTTCTAGAGGCGTTGAACTCCTCAGATATCTGGTTCCTGTCAGCACCACTGTGAGTTGGCTAGTTTCTTAACGATGCATTTCACATCAGACCACTCTGAATGATGTTGCTTCCATTTTAATGATCGAGTTGTGCAGGTAGAATTCCCCTTTTTATGTTTAGTTTTTTAATCACGTTTGAAAAACGTGGCAGAATGAAAGTAAAAACTCTAGACTTCTCAGGATTAACACCCCATTAAGCAGGGCAGTGGTACTGCAGGACCAGGGGGTGGGAACCACTGCTGTAGAGCTTTTAGTCTTGCACCTCACCCTCCTCACTCCCCCTCCACAGGACAGGCAGTGTTATGGAGCGGAGAGCGATAACTCCCCCAGTTGGCTCTCCAGTGGGTCGACCACTCTACCTCCCCCCAGACCGGAACATTCTATCGCTCGACAAGATTGCCAAGCGCGAATGCAAGGTGCTGGTACTGGAGTCACACAACTAAACATAAAAACACATCCACACACACACAAACATATACACACACAGCAAAGAAGAGGATAGAGTAGGAAGTGACACACTGGAATCTTAAATTATTTTGAAATTGTAGTTGTAGTAAATTATTGACAAAACTTGAATTGTCATGGAAAGTGTAAAATTCAAAAAAAAGTGTCTCAAGCTCCACATGACAGACGTGGTCTCTTAGTTTCAGTTGTTTAGGGATGCTTTTTCATTTTGTTTCTTTTACAAATGAATTGTTTACATGCTGTGAATTAGGGTCCAGCGTCGTATTTCAGATTAGTGCAAAATACAAGTAGCTGTTCTGTTTTCACAGATTTCTGACAGACATATGAAGTGAGAAAACACACGCATATACAGTTGATGCAAAAGTTTGGGAGCCCTAGTCAACTTACGTGTTGATTTTCTACATGAAAATAAGTTAACACATCCTCCACAGAGAACAAACTTCTGCACATTTCAATGTTCGATTACTGTTTATTTGCTAAATTTAACATAATGGGTGTTCAAACTTTTGCATACGCCTGTACACACAGACATGCATATGTGCTGTAATCCATTTGGAAGTAATTCAGTCACTGGGTGTATGATTTGGGTTTAAAATGTTGTTTGTCAAACTAATTGAGCATGCACCTCACTGTGTGTGCAAAGATAGATGTTTGAGGAAGCACATGGGGTCATGAGGGATTAACAAGTTTTCCTGCCTGAAAGTATGTTTATGACGTTTGTGTGAGTCAGTGTTTACTGACTGTTCTGTATTACAGTTGCTGTTCTGCTGACTTCCTTCAGTGGATAATTGCATTATTAATGTAATGGTGTCAGAATGTATTTATTTCCTTTTTTAGGCTTATAATTTGCAATCATTTGTTTGCTCCAAACCATAGTATAAACCTTGACATTTCCTTTTCATTTTTCTCCATACATTCCCATTTGTCCCTAACATAAGCTGCTGGTGCAAAACACCAGTGTTACTGTTGTTTCCCAGCAAATGCTAGTGAATCTGTGCAGCACTTGTTTTGACTTTCTCCTCGACTTTAAAGTGATGGCTGTCGTTTGCAACCATTACACTTGTAAAAAGTCACCCTTAAAGGCCAAAATTTCAATTTTATGTAATGCTGTGTTTGCGTGAAAACTGGAGTCTCTGTATCCAGCGTACTTTTGAAGTGCAGCCCATCGTGCAACCTATTATATAGCAGTGTCTTTCTCTAATACGTGGTTAAATTCTTTGGGATGTTTCAGTGATTCTGCGTTTGTCACATTATCATTCCACTTTTTTGTTCCAGCTTGTACTGTCTCATTTGTACACAGCGCTTGGCATTTACACATAGTAGCTGACGCCTCCGAGCGAACTGATTGAGTCACTTCACGTTCCTCCTGGTAGGCGTTGTGTGTGCCATTTTGATTTATGCTCCCTCTGCTTTTTTATGCTTTGTGTCATAACTCAGTCTGTGCACATGTTGCACTTCCAAAATGGATGACTGGGATTCAGTTGCCATCACTGTACTGTGACTGCACATTATGTATTTAATTTTGGGTGGAAGTTGCCAGTCTACCCAAAATCCTTACCTTAAGTAAGGGAAAACTGACCTCATGCTGGCATTAAAGGGCATCTTCCACTAGCAGCTCATCCCCTTGCCCCACAATGATGATCTTGGGTCAGGTTACCATTTACTAATATCATTCTGCCATTCCACACTGGAGCAGTGGCTACAAGCACATTATTGACTTGTGTGCATTGACTTTCTATCAGCCTTTCAGGGGCACATGCTGACACGCCTCTTAGCTGCTCTGATAATCAAGTAACAGTCATAAAGCCTCACATCAGGCTTTGCATTGCAATCATTTCATGGTTGATTTTACAGTGCCCTTTGAATGTTCACTGACGTGTGTGCATGAACGACTTATGCTTGTCTGTTCATGCCGGGCCAGTTATCTCATTTTGAGCGTGGTGTTTTCATGCAGTGAAGCTACCTGTTTGGAACCTCTTTCGCAGTTCTCGAATCTGACCAATTTGACTGATACCGTACAATCTGACAATGGAAAATGTGATTACAATGCTGTGTCTTTGGTACAGTAAAGGAAGCAATAGGAATATCACGTTCTTATTATTTCATTGTCAGAACTGTGACATTTTACATTTGTTAAATTTCAAGTTCTTATTCCATGTTTTACTTATGTTATCACTGAATACAGCTTGCTTTGTGAGAATTTCTTGGAGTTCTTTTTATTTGAGCATCTGTTTGCTGTTTGGGGTAGAAACGCTATTTGTTTTTGATTATTTGCTTTACTGTTAGAAAAAACAGATTAACAAACAGATTGTTAGTGCAGCTGTTTCAAACTTTGGATCAGTGTACTTGAACATAGTAGAACTTCATAAACATGCTCTCTGTGCAAGCTTGATATTTTATTTTTTTATTTTGTATTTTATTTTTCTCATCAAATTGATACATTTTATAATGTTAATTAACCATTTTTGTTTTTTATTTCATCCAAGCACTTTATTTCAATTGTTTAACTTATTGTCTATGGGAAAGGAAAACTGAATGTCAAAAATGATTTGACTGCTGATCTCATATGTTAGAAACTTTATTTGCTTTGTTGCTTTGACTAAAATCCTGTTATTTAAAGTGTTTACATCACAAAAAAAGTGTTTAAAGTTTGTGAAAGTGTGTGGTATTCATCACCTCCTGGGTTATTGCACTTGAAAGAACTGAATAAACGGAGATGGGCATAATTTGTTATTTTCCTTGGGAAAATTTCATTTAAAATATCACAGATTACCACAGTAACAATCAGTACCATCATTATTTCATTCATGTAAGGTATGTACAGACAAAGTAACTTACAGCAACAATTACAGTAAAGTTTACAAATAAGTTAAATCTGATTACAAAACAATGTGCACAAATTGAGTAGTTGCTCTTGTTCAAGGGCTTTTTAACAGCATTACATTCAAAACTCAATAAATAAAATATGAAATCATGTCTAAATCAGAGCATCTTCCTCCTTCAGAACGTTGACGCTTGTAAAACTGTGCTGTCTACACTCTTCTTGCGTTCATCCAGATTTTCATAGGGGTGATCTGTTGAGAACAATTAAATCCATTAATGAAATGATGTTTGACAATATTTTCCAGTATAAACAAAACAAATAAACGAACTTCAGTATGAAAAAGTAACGCATACCTGTCTTTTTCAGCTGCAGACTGTGGCTACTAGTAGTATCATAACTGTTTTTCCTGTGCCTAAGGAGAGAATTCACCATTCATAATTACACTCAGGCTTTACACACCGTGCAGTTTGTAGGTCACTGGACGGTGATAGTTTTTGTTTTGTACTATAGCAGAGTGGACTTCAAATGAGACTGACTTTGAGGTTGAACTGAGAAACTCTTTAATTTGAGGTATTTATATGCTGGGTGAACAATGCTGAAATCACAGCATACACAAAACAGTCTAAATTTTCTACTGAAAGTAACTGAACATAATCTTAAATCTGATTGTCATGTTCAGTACTTTGTTGCAAATCCAGAATTTACCCAGCCATTTACATCAACACATCTTTGCTGTCTTCCCTGGTGAAGCTCTGCTTAGTCAATAATGTACATTTCAGTTAGTGTACTATATGCACATTGGGGTTCTGATAATTGCCTTCTTTACATTACATAAATTCACTGTAAAAAAAACCCTACAGTTGCTTTATCTGTTTGCTTTGGGTCATTGTATTGCTGCAAGAAGCAATGACCATTGTAATATTTAATAATATTCATTGATTTTTGAGGGAATTGGTTGGTTCTAAATAGTTTACATTTCAGAATTCACCCTGCTTCTACCATCTGCAGTCAAATCATCAATAAAGACAAATGAGTCAGTTCCACTTGCAGCCACATATCCCCATGCTACCATATTTCACAGATTTGTTTTGATCATGAACAGTTCACTCATGACCTCAACAAGTTAATCTTCTCATAAGACATTATTAGTATATTAGTAAGTACAGTTATTAGTATATTCAATGACAGTTTCTGACATCGTTACAGTATTACATCTATTACAGAAACAGATTTTATAATGTTGACTGTTAGTGTCAATTCTGCACAATATGTATAAATGTAAACACTTTCCTTAAACAATTTCGGGCATACCTGGTTGATTTTTTGCAGAGGCACACGATCAGAGTGACAATAATGATGATGGCAAGTGGTACCAAGACTCCAATCAGAATAATGCTTGTCTTATCTGTTAAAACAGTAGCAGCAGCATGAACATTAGTCCTATAAAACATTATGTTTTTGTAAGAGCTGTTAAAAGCATACAGGATCAATGTTTGAGTTGAGAGGCTAAACCATTTAACACAGGGTGATGAAATAAAAATAAAAATTACCTAGACCTCCTACAGATTCTGTCTTCTCCATCTCACAATTGGTCCCCTCAAAGCCCTCTGGACATACGCAGGAGTAGGCAGTATCTGACGTTTTAACACATGTACCGCCGTTCTCACATGGAGAGCTCAGACACGGGCTCACTGAGAAAAAGAGAGAGAGAGGATTCAGACTTGTGTTATCAGACTTATTCAGACAAACAAGGCATGAAATGGAACTAGGGCTGGACAGTTTGGGGAAAATATCTAATTGCAATTCTTATGACCAATACTGTGACAATAATTCTGACAAAATTGTGGCAAATTAAACTGCAACTGTTTCAAATTAAGATCCAGGCCTGTTTTTTGGGCATAACAACCAGCATATGATTGGTGTCCAAAAAAAAAAAACCCTCATGTATCTCCAAAATGGATAATGTGTGTGTGTATATAAAAGTAATTTTAAAAAGTAAAAAAATGCACTATTTCTATGAAATTTTCAAACAAAGTGAAAGGTGGTTGCTGTGTTCAAAAGATGAACAAACAACTTTTCTGGCCTGAGGCCTGAATGCTGAATGTCGTGCGCCAAACTTCCAGTTAGTTGTGGTTGTGTTTCACATACCCAGCATGTTTGGTGTTTGGTTGCTTCTAATTGGTGTAACTCATCTACAGGCAGTTCACAAGCTCCGTATTAATATATTAAGTTCTTCCAGTTAAAACTTGAGACAATATTGCTGATAATGTAGGCTGTAATTAAAATTGCAGTTCTTGCGATTTGAAATTTACAATCTTTCAAATGCAATTTCCATATGAAAAAAAAACAATCTTTCAGCCCTAAATGGAACTGTGGTTAGACAACAAGCAGCATTATACATCTACCTTATAGGTCCACTACATAGGTGTACAGTTACTGGCTGTAACCCATCTACTGTCATGCACAACTGACACTGACACAGTAGTGTATCAGACACTGCAGTGTTCTTGGAGCTTTTACACAGTGCCACTGTAGGGTCAGCCAAAAATACCAAGCCAAGAATGACTCTGGTCAGAAACTGACCATTCATTAAGTGCCCAAAGATGATTAATGCAAATTCTGCTTGGTAACTAATGGATTACAGTTTCTAAACAAACACCGGCAAGGCTTGCTTTTCTAATAAAATGGCCAATAAGCACCTTCTTAGGGCTCATTTTATGTGAAAAGTTGTAATACTGTATAGTGGAAGTTTTGTAGTATATTACATTGTCAGTGTTTTAAAAGAAGCCACTCACTCTCGTAGCAGTTGCGTCTGGTCTCATAGATGGTGCAGAGTTCTGTGCCACCACAGCCTTTGAGTTCACAAACCGCACCGGTGGGGGTACATTCGCAGCTCTGAGCACAGTCCTCTGTCACAAATGTCTCCTTCAACTGCATGAGAAATACAGAAACTGGATTTAGACACAAGTTGTTCTGATGGTATATACCACAGCGTTCAAAAGTCTAGAGCCACTGTTTTTAACAAAATAAATAAAAAAAAGGCTGATGCCACTACTCTATAGCCTAGCAGATTTCAACTAATTAGCTGAAAGCTTTTAAAAAAGAACACACTTTAGATGTGTTCAAAATGATGAACACATGATAAATAAATAATTCTGGCACTCCAGTACATTATTATTTACCATTTAATAACTTGGAGGTGATTCCAAAAAACACCATTACATAGCATACTTAACAAATCATCTTCTGGCGACTAGTGATTCCAACGTTTTGAATGCAAGTCTATGTAAATACATTCTTATCTCCACTAATTTTTTACATTTCTGTATAATTAAATTTTTAAGACGTAAACAAAGTCATTCAGAGTGGTTTGATGTGACGCACTCAGTTCTAGAGAGACCTACAGAGTCAGCATTGTTCATAGTAATGGTGATGCAAACCAAACAACTGAAGCCTTTAATGCCCTTGAAAGCTCACTCAAGAAAGCTATTACTTGAAATGACAACAAATACATTGCATGATGCCTGAGATGAGAGATTTACGATAATTTTGTGAAGGATTTGGGCTAAACCGTATGTTTTTGAAGGCAGTCATGGTGGAGGGGTATGTCCACAGCATTATAAGGCAAAACTGTCCCCCTATTTTACCATTATCAACATTAAAACTCAGAAGACACATGTAAGTTCACAGATTTGGATAGTAAGTTAAATGACTTTATTTCAGTTTCAGACATTGCGACTTCTGGTTCCTATCACCACCACTGTAAAGAAATTCAAGCTGGTAACTTTCTCTACAAGGAACCATTTCACATCAAACCACTCTGAACGAGTTTGTTGCATCCCAACGGTTGAATTATGTAGAAATTTTGAAAAACTGGAAGAATTCCCCTGACAATAACTGATTACAATGTTAACACATGCAGCCCAGCACACACACACACACACACACACACTCTCACACTAATATAACTAGGAACTCACAGAGTAATAGCGTCCCAGGTAGGTGCATCCACACTCATTGAAAGGAACACACTCGTTGTCACTCATGGTGTATCCAGCAGCACACTGGCATCCCTCTATACATGTGGTCTGCTCACACTCTGAGGGTGCTGCTAGGTCTGCACATGATGCTGGGCATGCAGTCATACAGGTGGTGTAGCTGCTGTTGGCACCACACGCCAGAGCTACACACAAACACACACAATGCAGAGAGAAATGTCAGAGGCCTCGCTGAGCACACATAAATACCAAGCTATGTGTGTGGATGTCACTTGTTAATAAGTTTTTAACTACATGCATACGCTTTTGAATCTGTTTTTTGTAAGATTAACAAATATCCTTTATATACTGTACTATGCCAAGTCTTACAAAGATTTCTACAAAAATTGTTTAAAACCATTTATTTCACCATTAAGTGTGTTTTTGCATGTAAAACAAAACACGAAATTAGAATAGATACAAATAAGCAAATACAGGACAAAGTAACTTTCTTGTTTACAACTAAGTAGTTATTTTCAATGTCTAGACAATTTAAATGTCAGAAAACGTGGCTTTAACGTGTACAAAAGTAATTACTTTTGTTTTATTTTAATGTGTTGTTCATGTTCATATCAGTCAAAGTTTATAAAAATTAAAATACCCATTATTGTTATTAATAGCCTAATAATAAAAACTATAAGTTGCTATAACAGTAAAGGAAAGCCCTGGTCGAGTGACATGTTAACACATCCCCTACTGTTTATTACTGTTTATTTGTTGATTTACTAAAGTTAAGATATTAAGAAAAAAAAATTGGTCTTCGCAGAAGTTCTAGCGCATTTTACTTTTTTTTTCCAATATGTTGGAAAACTCGAAAAACTAGACCTTGTGCACTAAAATTAGCTGAAAAGTGCCATATTAAAGTTTGTTGCCTGTGGAGAATGTGTAAACTTATTTTTACTTTTTCTTGTAGATAATCAACAAAACGTGTAATTTGACTAGGAGTGTTTAAGCTTTCACATCCAACTGTAGGTTAAGAGGATCTGCAGTCTGGAAGGTAAGAGCAGCCTCTCAGTATTCAAGGCTTGTTCTTTCTGAAAATGTGCTCACATGGTGTACTGGTGGTGTGAGAAAATCATTTTAGAAAGCAGCTCTAGCTTGCTTGCCACCACAAACCCCCCCAACACTACCATCAAAGACTGATGGCTACAGGGTGCACACAGTCAATAGTATATTGACACAGGATCTCATAACCATACCTGTGAACTGGTTAGAAAAAGTCCACCACCAGCTCTCCTGATTTAACTCTGTACTAAATGATTACTACAAATAATGCTGGCTTCATTGGGGAGACATTTGGAAATGGTTAAGTGAACATTGACATACATATTGTTTTAATGTTATTTGTATTTATTGTAATATTAGTGTTTTCTGAGTAAATAAACACTTACTTCCCAGATAAATTGCATTTTAAACATTGTTTCCTCTAATGCCTAAAACTTTGGATAGTACTGCATTTGTGTGTACAACATACCACAGCCCAGTTCTTGTCTCCAGTTCCCTAGCTCAACTCCTTGCTCCTGACAATCCAGGGCGTACACAGCATAGTTCTCACAGAGCAGTGTGGGATCGCTCTGCTCTGCACAGAGGTCAAACACACAGTCCCTGCAACAAACACACAGTGTCAGAGCAGCACACATCTGCAGTCAACATAAAGTTAAAACAATGAACATAGCTGACTCCTTTCATGGACAATGAGGGAATCACCCACACACAAATACTTAGGAAAGCGTGCAAGAGTTCAATACGTCAATACGTCAGCAGTGCCAGACTCCTCACATGCACACATGGTAAGATACTCAGTATGGTCCTCATTCCTAAGAGCTGTGTTCTGGTGGAATTTATTACAGTAGAGCACGACACTGTACTCACTCCTGGAACATATCAGGAGCGAGGATGCTGTGACAGGCAGTGAAGGGGCCTTCGGGGTCAGTCAGCGCTCCACACTGCTTCTTCCCGTTCAGCTCAACCAGCTGATCCGCAGAGCAGCCGTCTGTCTCAAAGCCAGAGCCCGGATCTTCCTCCACCTCTCTCCTGAGACAGGATGGGAGGGAGAGAGCATGAGAAGCACACAAAGGGTTTTGTGAGTTTGTGCAGGATATAGAAATGATAAATGACAGTGCAAGGATTACAGTGAAGAAATGGAAGAAAAGGATAGTTAAACATGACTTAAGACTGAGGAATGACCTTTCAGCAAACCCAATTCATCTAGATTTCTATTGTATGGTGTATGTGTGTAGTATTATTCAGTGTAAAGCATAGTTATGTGCAATTCTAATACAATAACTACATGACTTTTTATCAATTAATGCATCTAGTAGGGGCCAAAAGTATGAAATCAAGCAATCATTTTAATCAAAATATATAATTAAGTAAATCTTCCAACAACCAATACAACACAACCACAATTTTCTAAGGGCTTGTAGTAGTTTGTGCTTACTGTAACTTATTTTATGAAAAAAGCACGTGTGGCCTTTGTTGATAAGCGCTCCTTCCATTGACCAGTTTTCAATTATTTACAATGTTGTAAGTGAACAGTTTATTCAGTGGATCAAGCCTTCAGGAGCATGTGAATGTGAGAATCATGTAGATATGATTAGGGCTGCAAGTTTGCAATCTCTGGGTGCAAAACAAATTGAGAATCAGCCATACATGAATGCTGCAGACATTTGCTCAAACCCTTTTTATTCATAGTAACATATTAATAAACATACAGTCATATGCAAAAGTTTGAGCACCAAAATTATGTTTTGTTGATTTTCATTGTGTTAGCAAATCCTGTACAAGTAACAAACTTAAATATGGTCTTTTTCTGCATATTTTAGTGCACAATTTCGATTTACTTGCTAAAGTAACACACTGGGAAAAATAAAGCCTAAAATATAAAATGTGCCACATTTTATGGTTTATGTTAAATTCAGCAAATAAACAGTAATTGCACACAATTGTCTGTAGACAATATTTACTTATCTACACTAAAAAATCTATAAAACGTCTTCTGACCAGGGGCAACCAAACTTGTGCATATAACTGTATCATCATTCATTTCCTCTAGATAAAAAAGTGTTCATATTTAGTTTTTAAAGGTTGATACTTCCAAACTTTTATACCAAACTCCATTTGTAAGGAAATGGGAAGTGTTGGTCGAGTGACTAAATAGCAGTTTTGAAGTGCGCCCACTCACCTGTGCAAGCGAGCGAGTTGTGGCAGGTCTGAGGTACGGAGGGCCTCCCCTTGTCTGTCTGTCACTCTCCAGCTGTCTCCAAACTCGTTAAGGTTGCGAGTGAGGGTGCCATCAGGTTTCATGTACTCGTTGTTGGTGCGACGGTCATAGTTCCCACACAGGCCGCGCACATACGTCCTGTAGGTGCTTGGAAGAATCACCTCTGTACAGAGAAAAAAAGCAGTTTGTGCTGACATGGCTAAGGTGTCTAGTTGTTGTGTATGTGCACACTGTGCATGTGACTGGGTTGACATGTCTAGACCCACAAATGGCTTCATAAGTCTCTATCATTCATTCACCTCCTTGCATGTTGCCATCAAAGCGCACTGTAAGCCCAAAGTCAGTGGAGAGCTGAAGGTAGCGTGAATTCAAGGTGATCTTGATACCCTGCCTGGGACTTAAGGGAGGGAAAACTCGCTCGCCATCAACCTGGGGAAGGGGAAAAATGGGCCAGACGTAAGCATCTTGAACAAAATATTAACTATTATGATTAATGCAGGGGGCCAAACATTAGTACAATACTGTAGTAGTTGTAACATTGTATGTGTCATTCTACTGCATGCATGTGAAGTACATTTCCCAGAAATCCAGCATTTCCTTACCTGGAGAGCCCTCTTCTGTAGCATGCGAACACTGATGCCATACACATCCACATACACCTCGTGCAGGAAGGAAATGCGGCTGTTGCCCCCTCTGCGGGCATTCTTGCCTCTGACAGTGAGGGGCGTGAGGGAGCTGGGCAGATCATGATCCCTTGTTAGGATGTATGTGTGTGGGCCCTGGTAGTGATGGTTGAATTTGTCAAAGGTGCGGTAGTGTGGGTCTCCAGAAATGATGCACTTGTCAAAACCTATAAATTAGAAGGAGAGAAAAAAGCAGAGAGGATACATTTATGGAAAACTGTTTCAGAGATATGTAGCATACAGTCATACATTATATTTTCCTAGAATTTACAAATATATATGGCTAGGCTAGATTTTTCTAGTGTGGCAGACTTATTATGATATAAGCACAGACACTTGTCACAGGAACTGTAAAACTGTAAATGATTTAAACTACTAACTCTGACATTAATAAACTATTTTGATATGACTAGACACTTGAGTGGATTGATATGTCATAAGGCAGCAAAAGAGAGAGTTTAAGGAAAAGAGAGAGCTAGACTGAGACACAGAGCGTTTGGAAATTAGATCTCATGGATATCTCATGTAAATACAACAAATCTGTCTTATTTGCTATGTAAATATGCAAATACATATAGTTTTATTTCCACTTTCTTATACTTTAACTTGTGTCTATTTTTATTTCAAATTTTTTTTTCTGCTTAGTATATGTAAATTTATGTGAAATGATATGTCTTGCTACTGAAACACTGCAGTCTCCCTTCAGGATCAATAAAGTTCTTTCTATGTATCTATGTATCTGTCTATCTGTCTATCTATCTATCCATCTATCCATCTATCTATGTTAGTGATTGTGACGCACTCTCAGGTTTGCAGTAGCGCTCTCCATCTTTATCCAGTGCACAGATGGAGCTGGAGCTACACTGGAAGTCAATGCAGGTCAGCACTCCTCCCAGACTGCACGTGCACTTCTGATCACAGTGCTCTGTCACCCACGAATCTCCAACCTGCAAAACACACCAGGATTACCACCATCGATGATGCAGTGTCTTGAATGCAGAGGAAATAAGCAGTGTTACAAATGCTTTGAAATAACTGTTTTGTGTCTGCAATGCACAAAGAACACCCCACTTTCTAATGAGTAGTTTATATGGAATTTCCTTTTACGCTGAATGGGAGGCAAACACAGACCTGAGGTGAAGGAAGAAGCTGAGACAGAGTAACTAAGTGTACAAACATTCAGATTTGAATTTTGTCCTTGTTTGACTTCCAACTTACATCATGGTACTGTCCTTTACTGTCTACACATCCACAGTTGGAGAGCGATACACACTTGCCGTCACTCAGCACAAAGCCTGCATCGCACTGGCAGCCCTCCACACAGCCATTGGGTGGAAGGGGGCAGAAGATTGGAAAGAGGTCAGCACATGTGGGGGGGCAGGGGGGCGTGCAGTCCGAGTAGTGGCTGTTTGGAGGACAGGGGAGAGCTGCAGGCGAAGACAAAAAAGAGTAGCCTCAGTACGACATGTTGCTCCTTGTTGGGGGCAGTTCACAGCTTATGGAGTGGTCGTGGCTAGGTCTCAGAAGACCGGTCACAGCAATTCAGATAAACGCCCTCTTCCACGACTCGCCCCAATTGTGAAAATGTGCCAACAGTCAAAAGCAAAAAAAATTTTTGCAAAAAATGTATCAGCAACATTGGCAAATAAAAAAGAAATAATCAAAGCAAAGACTGGAAAAATGAGTTTGAAATTTCTAGCAAAAAGAGTGAAAAAAATCTTTTTACAGAGTTTTAACTCTCGTTCATTTAGCATTTTAATACTGAATATTTTGCTTGTGGATTTATTTAAAACTTTTGGCACAAAATTAATTAAGTTTACTCCTCAAAGTAAAGCACTATCACGTGAATGGCACTCAATAAATATAAGTTATTATTATTAGTAAAAGTATTATTATTCTTATTTTATTATAAGATGTATATTGTGTTATTCTCTTACTCATCAGCAAGGCATTTAAGAAAACACAAATTTGGAACTAAAATAATAAGAGGTGATTTTCACAGGTCAATGAAGTAGGAAGGCTCTTTTTAAGCTATTGTAGCTACAGATTTTTTTAGGTCACTCACGGCAAAAGGTGGTGTTTCTCCAGCTGATGGTGACACCGGCACTCTGGCAGGCCTGAGCGTAAGCCTCCACATTGTCACACAGTGTGGACTGCATGCCATTGTATTCGCACATGTCGTAGATGCAGTTCCCCAGGAAGGGCTCAGGTGGAATCAGCGAGTGGCAGGGCTTGAAGCGGTCCGAGAGGATAACGCTGGCACACTGAGCCCTGATCGCTTCCTCTTCCTGAGCCGTGCAGTTAGGGTGGACATCTGGGCGCAAGTCTGGCTGGCATCTATGAAGACAGCAATAGAGTGAGTCACAAAATGAAAAAGATGAGGAATAAAATAAAGCTGTAGAAGACACAACGGGCTTGTTGTTATTGTAGCTTATTTTTCAAAGGGTAACATGCACTACAATTGTTTTTTTTCTAGAGAGCCACAGTGGGGGTTTTGTCCATAGGGCACATTTTTTTCCTGTGTATGCTAAACATGTTCGACCTGACCCTAAAAGTAGACTCCCTCTTTCACAGAGGTTTGCTGGCACAGCTGTTACTTTCATTTCCCTTACATTGCTTTAAATGTATCTGCCTCGTACATAATTAATCACCTTCTAACCACCTGCAGGTCTGGCTTTTTGATTATCTCCCTAGTGTCTGATGCATCTCTAATGAGGGAATGGAGGACGATCAAGCCGTTTTCACAAAGCGCTTCAGACTAAAGCCCCACTTGGACAGCAGGGTGAAATGTGCAAACCAAATGCATTTTTTCTCTGATCCCAGTGCCCTTGTCGGTTTAGATATTCTATTGGCAGGTGATTCTTTGCTGAAAATAGCTTGCCTGAATATTAATTTTGTCCAAGTGGGGATAGGAAGATCTAGTTAGAGGGATCTGCTAGTTAGAATTGTAAAAAAAAAGAACAGGTCTAATGTGAAAAAAAAAATCAGACTGGACTATCAGCATAAACGAAGTGGACGTGCAATTTCGGAGTCATTTTCGCTTTGGGTATTTTGTAACTAACACTTAATCTAATCTGATCCAATCCCTTGTATTACATGTATTCCTTGTACCATGTTATTTTGTACTACACTGTGTTGTACACTGTTTTCTACCTAACACATTGTATTGTACTGTGCTGCTGTTTTCTATAGTGTTGTGTGGAAGTGAGGAGTGTAGGGTCGTTTTGGTTTATCTCTAGTGGGAACCTGGCCAGTGACCCTTTATCCAGAATCAAAGGTTTAATACTTGAGTAAACTGATTTTGTCTGACTCCTTTAGTCACTGTATCACTACAGAATTCAGGCACTCACCCTGGGTCACTGTCACCCTCTGCTTTCCAGCTGTCACCCAACTCTATGACATCTTTAGCTGGCTGGCCATTAGGCATCAAATTGTCATCACTGGAATTACCGTTGTAATTACCGCACATACCACACACCTGCAAAATGCATGCAAGAGAGACGGAATGTGAGTGAGTGAGAGGAAGGAGGAGCATTTATTCTTGGTTACAAATGGCTATAACTGACTGACACAGAAACGGCTACCTTCTGCACTTTTTTGCTTGTTTTAATAAAATCTGGCAACTCTACTTTCCCAATTAGTGACTAGACTCATGATGTATATTTAATGTGTTTATTTAGTTGAATACAAGAAACCAATATATCACTATAAACTCCATATATTTACTTACTGTAGCCCTTTTAAAACCCTTTTTAAATGATAATATGGACAGTACTGAATGTTAATTGCATTCCACCAGTCTGTGTTCTCACCTTGTTGAAATAATCTCCAGGTACAGTGATCTCTATGTGGTGAACTCCATCAAACTGGACAATCAGGCCAAAATCAGTGGCCAGCACACTGTTGACTCCGCTGGTAAACACCTGGGCCTTGGCTGCAGGAATGTCCATAGGGGTGCGGATCCTTTGTCCATCCAGCTAGAGAAGTGAGAATACATGATGAACAAAACGTCCTTTGGACTTTGCAAACTGTGAAAAGTGCACTCTTTCTTTTTATCCATGTGTAACATTGTTGTGGTTCATAATTAGCTGTAACGTATTCAAAACAATATTACATTGTAGATGCCCTTTAAAAATTCTTGCAAAACATTTTGACTCATCCATTTCATATTCATCCCTCTTTCCAATCACGTTTTTGGGTCAGCCTCTCACCAGTACTCTCTTGCTTTTGCTGAGTGTGATGTTGGCTCCGGGCAGGTAGACGGTGACAGAGCGGACGTAGGAGGCCTCGGGCAGGCCACGTTCCTCATTCTTGGCAATGATGGTAAAGGGTGTCACCATGGAGCTGTCGCAAATGTCCACCAGTGTGTAGGTACATGTGCCCATGTACGTGTGCATGATCCCATCAAAGGTGTAGTAATGAGGATCGCCGGCTATGTGGCAAATTCCCACTCCTGTACACACAAACACACTGGAGGTTTTCACAAATATTCTTCAAAGCATTCTTCCTCACCTATGGAATGTTGTCGATTTAGTATCAGAGTTATTCTTAAATCTTTTTTTGCCAAAGCTGGACTTGTTTCAAACACTATATTTAAAGCACTTTCCTTTAGTACAGTGTTCTCATATTATGATATTGATACATGTGTTTTGACAAGAAAATCTTAGCATTTGGAATGAATGTAACTGATGTAACTCCTACTGATAGAAAGCAGTTTAAAACTGGTTCTGAAATACCTTGGTATTAGGGTTTCACACTGTTTGCGGAATATGTAAAACTGTAGTATGACTGGGGTTGGTCCCAATATATTGTACTGTAACTGGAGGAGTTCATACCTGTATCCACACAGCCAAGTTGTCCCTCGTTGACCTTGCACTCTTGTGCAGGGCTGCATCTCCATGCTTCACATGTCACATTGTTAAAAGGAGAGCACACACAGCGCTCAGAACAGTCGTCCTTAGTAAACCAGCTATCTCCCACCTAAAGAGCATACAAACACAAAAAATGGCACATTATGTAAACAGAAGCTGGTTAGCATGTATGTGCACACCAGCTTCTATTCTAACACACACACACACACACACACACACACATATATATATGCTGTGCAAAAGTCAGAGGTATTAAAGGAAAATTAGTGAAATGGAGCTCTCATAACAATTAACTGACATTAATGACTCTAATACTGAATTGTAGAGGTGTGGAAAAATATCCCCCCAGATTTCTTTGAAAAACTGAAAGCAGGTCTCTTAAAACAGAATGGAAGCTGTAATAAAGGCAAAGTGTGGACACAATAAATGAAAAAACGTGATATTATAGTTAGTTCTTGTGGTTTCTGTGTAATTTTCTGTTTCTGTTTCTCTTTTTTTTCTGATGCTGAAAATGACCAGTTTGTACATAATTACAGGTTGACTAGAAAGAAAATAAATGAAGGGTGGTCTCTGACTTTTGCACAGCACCGTTTATATAAACAAATAAACAGGCCATTAGCAGAGCATCAGGAAGATATCTGGTTATTTTAAACATGAGTGTCTTATTTTCTCCTGCAGACACAAACAATGCCAAAGTAAGATCATTAACAGCTCACGTACGGGTCTGTAGTTGCTGTCCTTGTCCGTACATCCACACTGACTGAAGGGCACACACTTGTCTCCACTGAGTATCAGTCCTTCATCACACACACACCCTTCCACGCATGGCTCTGTGCACGTGCCAGCTGAGCCTGGATCCTGACAGCTGGGAGGGCACGCAGTACCACAGTACTCATAGTGACTGTCAACGGGGCATTTCAGGGCTGAGAGACAAAGAAAGACAGAGGAATACGGGGAGAGAGTGGGAAATAAGAATGCAATAAAACATTAAATAGTCCAGAGTAGCAGAGAGTAAGGAAGAGGTGCGCAATGGCAGAAGAAGAAAAAACTCCTAATTATACACAAGAACTACAGCAGCACATGTTTTTGCTCCTTACATCACCTTCCTGAAGCAACATAGTTGTAAGTACCAAAGGCCTCTTTTAAAGCCTGCAATATTCTTATAAAGTGCACCACGGCACTGCAGGTCTCAGACTTAAAGAAGATGTAAAGAATGCCTGAAAGGCGCTCACGTACTTGCAAAACACACCATTTAAAGAAACACTTACGACAGAAGGTGTTGTTCCTCCAGTTGATGGGCACCCCAGCTTGGGCACACAAGGTAGCATAGGTCTCAACAGCCTGGCAGAGTGCCACGGCAGACCCATCTGTGCCACACTGGTCAAACACGCAGTTCTCAAAATATGGAGTGGGTGGCACAACTTCATGGCATTCTTTAAAGATTCCTGAGGGGAAAGGAGAAAGGGTCCATCAGATGGCACAGTCTCTAGGAATGTAGATCTGTGAAGCTTTGTCTGAGAGGATTCCACAATGGACTATTACCCTATTACGGGTGTATACATGTAGACACATGTCCTGACACAAGGCCTGACAAATATATTGGTAAGCCATAAATATCAGCAACTTGCACTATTATCAGTGTTGGCCAATAATACTGCATGTAATTAGCACCTTTATTTGGATCACAGCACTAAACATCTGGACTCCTGATGCACGGACAAAACCTCACCTTTGGCATGAGAATATGTTGTAACACACACAAAAAACTATTTAATGAATAAAAAAATAAGAAAAAGAAGATGTGATAAACAGAAACCAAAGGTGTAATGCATTCTGGGTAGCTCCACCCCCAAATAATATAATATATTCAATAATAATGTATTATAGTGATTGATAACTGACAATCATATCCAACACTAAGACACTGTTTAAATATACTGTAGTAATAAAATCTAAAATTTAAAAATAAAATTATCGGCAGATAAAAAAGCTCCCTAAAATCGGTATCGGACTCAACATTTTCATATTGGTCAGTCCCTAAAATACTGCAGGGTTGGTCTTGGTTACTGACTGTGTGTGTTTGTGTGTTTCCTCACCATTAGGGTCAGTAATCATTCCACAGCTGGTGGGTTTTTGTGCCTCACTTTCAATATTTTTATCACATTCAACGTCTCCACCTCCATGTGTGCAACTAAAAATGAGATAAGATACGACAAAATTTATTTCAAATGTCAAAACAAAAAAAAAAAGAAAAATGGTTATCAGTTGTGTATGAAGATCACTGAATAAACAGCAAGTTTGACCCAACATGTTTCTACCTTCAGGCAGGTATTATTTGCTAGTCTGTCCCATATTCCATCTAATCATTGGACATGTACCAATATACATCCAAGCTGCTTTCTAAATGGTTTAATACTGCAATTATACATCCTAGTCCTGCCTTTCTTACACTGCGATTGGTAATGGCACTCACTCAGGTCTCTCGTCAGGCACCTGCCAGCTCTCCCCTAGCTCATTGGTGCTGTCTGTGGGCTTGCCATCTGACATGATGTTGTCATCATCTGGGTTATTGTTGTAGTTTCCTTTGAGATTGGTGGAGTAATGTGATGGTTAAGTACATAGCTTAAGATGTTGAATGCAATGAAACAACAGCAGTTGTGAATGTACTGGCCATGAATAACCTCAATGGCAATGAAATGAAATAATGAATAATCACTTATTGATTATTTTATTAAGATTGTTTAATTTCAGTCTCAGAGCACTACATACCACACATTCCACACAGCAGGCCTTTGTAAGATGAAGGAAGGCTGACATCAGCATGGTGATTGCCATCAAAGCGGACACGCAGGCCGAAGTTAGTCTCTAGCACCACAAACTTCCCACTGAGGAAGACCTTAACTCCATTCAGGAGAGTGACAGGCACAGTCACCTGAACGCCATTCACCTGCAAGAGTGAAGTAACATGGTGGAGATGTAGATGTAGATCTGTCCACATGCAACATTGTAGTATTTCAACAATAGCTATGAACAGCCACCCAAACTGGGCATTAACACCTGAAAATATGATAAAATATGCAGTCTCGGTAACTTAGCTTTACACTTTTCCAGGACCTAACTAATATTTCCAGGACACTGTACTAGCTTTCTTATTCTTCAGTTGCTTTCCATGACTGAAAACTAGTCTTTAAACTTCCAGGTTTTCTTGGATATGTGGGAACCCTGTCAAATTGAATTTGATTCAATTGAAAATTCAATTCTTTACTTTTTAAAACTACAACTCTCACCTGGACTTTACGGCCCTTGTCAAGGATAATCTTCATGCCATAAACATTGACAATGACTGTTTTCACGTAGGACACTTTCTTGTTATTGCCTCTGTGTTCGTTCTGGGTGTCGACAGTGAAGTACGGCACACCAGTGGTCTCATTGCAGGGCTTGGTGAGGGTGTAAGAGCAGGCACCCATGAAATGATGGACCTTCTTATCAAAAGAGGTGTAGTGAGGGTCCCCAGAGACAGAGCAGATTCCTGGACCTGTAGGTTCTGTAAGAAAACAAACAGGATCTTCTTAAACTGAGCTATCTTTAGTGCCAATGTATTTATAAGCTGATGAGTTAAGTTACACGGCACACAAACAGTGTTGTATCAGAGAACTGTAGATGTTTGTTGTACCGTTCGGTTTGCAGATGTACTCTCCATCTTGCAGAACACAGCTCTCTGTAGGGAGGCAGCTGGTGTTGTAGCACTGGATAATGCCTCCAGACAGACACAAACACTGCTGCTCACAGCCCTCCAGATACCAGCTCTCATTTACCTAAACCACACAAAAATACACAAGAACTGAGTATTTGCATGAATATAAATTAACTGTACTGTTGCTTATTTACTGTGTCAATCTACATAAACCTGTTTGTGAGTCTCAAATTGTCAATATTTTCTATTTTCTGACAGAGGTGTGTGTGACACTCACAGGGTGGTAGGAGCTTTCAGTGTCCACACAGCCACAGTCTTTGAGAGGAACACACTTGTCATTACTCAGGACAAAGCCGGGGTCACATTCACAGCCTTCAACACACTTCTCTCCGCAGCCAGGGGGTCCGCTCACACCTACACACGTCTCTGGACAAGAACTCACACATGTGGAATAGTGGCTGTTCGGGGGACAAACCAGAGCTGTAGAGAAAAAATTACATAACATTTAACATAACAAGGCAAGGGATGAAGTTTGAAATATGTCAAACATTTTTCATTCTTCAAGTTTGTCACTTACAGTCATCAGTATGTCAAAATCTACAGATTTAGACAAAATTTTGGCAAATCTGTACTGATGTTAGCCATATATTTGACATGTAATTTGCCAGTTTTGTATGTTAATATGTTGTTGGTGAGACTCACGGCAGAAGTCTGGCTCCCTCCACTGGTGAACCGGTGCTCCTGCACTGAGACAAGCATCGGTGTAAGCCTGAAGCTGATCACACAAGGTTTGTTGGAGTCCGTGATAACTACACATATCATACACACAGCTCTGGAAGAACGGCAGAGGGTCCACCACCTTTATACAATCCCTGTGTTTGAAGAAGGGAGAGAAAAGATAAGTGACGTGGTCAGTGGAGTAGTCAGTGGTCTAAAACAAAAACTGCTTAAATGTTATGCAAAAAAAAATCAGTAGGATTTCTTTAAGAATGTATTCACCTGAACGGTCCAGTGGAGTCTGTGATTTTCCCACACTTCTCTGGTTTAGACACTTCGGCCTCCAGGTTTGGGTCACATTGTGGGTTAGTTGTGTTACCAGGCTTGCAGCTGAAAACAGAATAGACGCCTTTTACATCATCAACCAATGAGGTTATCCAACAGAGCCATGTAATTACAATTACATGAAACTGATGTGATTAAATAAAGTAATTTGTGTTCATGAGTTAGATTTTCTATAGCAAACAGGCCTAAAGATAGACAGACAAATAAAGACACTCTTTCTTCATGCCCTTAAAAAGGCGCAGGATGACAGAGACGACAGGTAAGAGACTAACATGTCATCCTCGTCTTCATCAGTTTGCCAACTGTTGCCAAACTGGTTTGCGTTGTCAGCCAGGGTACCATTTGGCTTGGTAAAGTCATTGCTGGGGTTTCCATTGTAGTCTCCACACAGACCACACATCTGCTCATAGTAGGTGCTGAGAGAGAGAGGAAGAGAGATATTGAGGAACTGTAGTATAAACATAGCATAAGGATTGTCTTTATCCAAGAAAGCTCCTGTCAAAAAGTGTTTCAATTAAGATGGTAAATAAGAGCATCATTGAGATCATAATGAAGCACTACCTGGGCACAGTGATCTTAGCATAGTGGTTGCCATCCCAGCGCACCTCCAGGCCAAAGGGTGTGGTGAGAATGACATACTGCCCAGCCAAGGTCAGAGAGATTAGAGGAGAAGGTGAATGAGGAAGGCCTACTTTCAGTCCGTTCACCTGGGGAGGTGTAGAATCAATGAAGAATTATTGATGCAGATTAGCTTTGATAAGAATAGCATGGTTATTTCTAGCACTCTGAAGCTTGCAAGCTTTCTGTTTTGTTTTGTCTTATGTTTTCAGCCTGACATGTTGCTTATAGAAAATGTAAGAATGCTAAGCTTTTCGACCACTGTTCCACAACCTCTGATGTCAGCAGAACTGCACATAAAGATGTAGAAAAACAAATGTTTCACATACAACAAGCACAAGTGTCACGGATGGAAAGTTGTTTACACTGTACAGTGCCAGTAGGTCCCCCCTTGAGGTTTATCTTGTTAAATGCAAGTAAGTGAGTCAGTGAGTGAGTGGGTACATACTTTGCATCTAACAATATAAAACAATTTGTGGACACCTCTGGAACAAAAAACAGACAGAGGAGGGGGAAAAAGGATGCAAAAAGATAAAAAATGATGTGCTTGATCTGAAACTAACAGACAACACAAAAGAATTAAAAAAAAAAAAACTATAAAAAAGGTACTCAAAAATCTTTTTTGCTTCAGTCCAATCTTATTCCTTTAATTCTTCATCGACCATGAGATTAAATTCAGATATGCCACCTAAAACACATTTAAAATGTTTGTGTGCCTGGTAGTTCATACTAACCAGAGTGGTTCGACCCTTCAGCATGGTCACAGTGATGCCATCAACAGTCACATATAACTTCCGGAGATACGACACACCAGAGACTCCTCTTTGCTCATTCTTCCCCTCCACAGAGAACCAGGGGCCTGTAGAACACAAATCAAAAACACTAACCATCGCTTTCCAATTTCAGGAAAAACAAAATACCTTGACAAGCATTATAATTTATGATTTAGACATTGATATATATATGTATGCAAAGTCTATAAACATTTTCATAAGTGAATCATAGTCAACATTCATGTAATCATCACTGCAGTTTTTCTCACCACGTTGCAGCCCCCTGTTATGCTACTTTAATGAGAATAAAAAACTCATATTAAGCTACTTAAATGTAAAAGAGAGAAACCGTCATTACGTACCAGTGTTGTTTCTGCAGGTGCGGGCCAGCGTGTAAGTGCAGAGTCCCATGAAGGAGTAGTATTTACCATCAAAGGTGTTGTAATGGGGGTCACCAGAGATGATACAATCCTTAAAGTCTAAAAGCCAGTAAAAGAGAGATGAACTCACAACATTTCTTCTGCAACACAAGTTAAATCTGCCTCATACCTGATTAATAATACAGTTCTATAATAATGTACTGACCGACTGGGTAACATCCTATCTGTCCTCCCTGCACACCACACTGCTGCATGGGTGGGCATTCAGCAGCACTGCAGGTGACGTTCGGAGGATTACACTTGCACAGCAGATCACAGTCCTTAGTGTAGAACTCCTGCCCAGGCTGAAATTCATAGAGAGAAGACAGAACAATTTAGAGAACTGTACACGAGAGAGCTGCTTTGACGTAGTAACACCCATAAACACTCACCTGGTAATACTGTCCATCATACGTGCAGCCACACGTGTCTTGTTTCACACATTTGTCACCACTGAGTAAGTAGCCAGGGTCACACACACAGCCCTCAGAGCAGGGTCCAGTGCACTGACTTGGTGGGGGAGGGGTACAGGAAGGCTGGCAAGGGGAGACGCAGGGGTCGTAGTGGCTGTTGGGTTGACATTTGAAAGCTGAAGAAGAAAATAAACTGTTACTGCAGGGTTCCACCTTACAGGAGAAGACCTCACAACAAAATGTACACACATGAGTGATTTTATGGTTTCTGAGAGACTTACGACAGAAGGTGCTGTTTCTCCAGGCACCGATGTTGACCCCACGGTCCTGGCACTCGTTGACGTAGGCTTCAATCGCTTCACACAAAGCAGAGTGAGGGCCGCCCAGCGCACACAGATCATATACACAGTTTTTGAAGAAACTCTGCACAAACACACAGAGTTAAAATGAATGACAGCATTAATATTAACAGACTAGCGTTAAATGCTTAGATGTAAATGACCTGGTCTGATTAACTCACATTAGGATTGACTTTTGGGTGGCACACAGCAAATGGACCATTGCTGTCCAGTATGATACCACAGTATGCTGGACTCTCATAAAGGTCCTGTTCAGTTTCTGTGCAGCCAGGGGGTGGGACCTCTGGGGTCTTGTTGCAGCTGGAGAGCAAATGAGAACAGCAGTCAATCTCCATTTAATCTTATGTACAGTTACAGGAGGGGAAAAGGAAATGTGATTCCTCAGTATAGAGAAGAACTAATCAGCCTGTACAATACAATATCAAAGACTCACTCAGGGTCTGTGTTCCAGCTGTTGCCAAACTCAGTTGGATTGTTGACCAGTTCACCAGAGGGGGTGCGGAAGTCGTCCTTATAGTTGCCATTATAGTCACCACACAGGCCACACAACTTGTCCTGATAGCTGCACAAACAAACGAGCATGTTACATAAGACATGCTGTTTTAGCAAAACACTAATATTTACCAGTTTAACACAACACTCACTCTTTGATGACTTTGATGTCCATGTAGTGGTTACCATCATAACGAACAGTTACGCCAAAGTCCATGACCACTGTGTAGAGTGTCCCAGATTTGAAAACATCTACTCCAGACACCGGACTCAAAGGAATGTTCACATTCGTTCCGTTCAGCTGAGAACAGATGGAAAACAGAACTTACGACACTGCTGTAGGATACAACTTCACTTCCTACACTCATGATATCTTTGTTCTCTCACCTGCACAACTCCTCCTTTCAGGATGGACACCTTCACTCCCCAAACGTGGACATGGACAGCACTAACATAGCTGACTGTGGGGATGTTGAAGCGATTCTCATTCTCAGCGTAAACAGCAAAGTAAGGCACATCTGTGCTGTTGCACGGTTCAGACATCAAGTAGGTGCAGTTGCCCATGAAGTCATAATTGCGTTTGTCAAAGGTGGTGTAGTGGGGGTCAGATGTAGTAATACAGATGGAGGTGTCTGTGAGTAGTAGAGAGCAACAAATGTTAAAAAAAAAAATCTAATGTACACAGAACTGAAACTTAAATTATAAACTGAATAGTACAAACTTGCTAATATTTTCTCCTAGACTCTGAGACATACAGCTAACTGTGAAACATTATAGCCTCCTACAGAGCAGCGTTTCTTAATCACGTTCCTGACAACCCACAGCACAGTTTCATTCCAGGTCATTCACTGATAATCAAGCAATTACTTAGCTAGATCAGGTGTGTTCGCCCAGGAAATAGCTGAAATGGTGCAGTGCTGTGAGCTGCCAGGAGCAGGATTAGGAAATAGTGCTATAGACGTAACATAATTCAAAACAAATATCACAAGAGTTTTTCACAGCACCTTTAGGATAGCAGCCATGGACTCCTCCCACTTCCCGACACTCTTCTGTGGGGTCACAGGTGTTGTCCACACAGCTCAGGGTGTAGTTGCCAGCACAGCGACACAGCTTGGAGCAGCCATTCCCAAAGACAATCTCTCCAGGCTGGAAAAAAATCATTCAAATTATACTCACAGAACTGTGAGTGAAGTTTCAGGGCTTAATACAAATTTGGCTTAATCAAATTGTAGAGTTTAAGTTGGTTTTCTACCACATTCTTATGTGTCTGAGAAGTCAGTGTCATGGCATAGCAGTTTTATTTTTCTTAAGGCATGGCGTCAAAGGTAAGCCATCTAGCACACTCAGTCTCTAATAAGATAAACTTAACATTGATCTGGACTTTGCAAAAGGACTCCAGGCAGACAGTCATAGTGGAGCTCAGTCTTCCATATCTAGTAAGGGCAACAAATCCTCATGCACAAGTGAGCTTTGCAAATATTAAAAAGACCTTAAGGCACAGGTGCTCTTTACAAAGTGTGTATTCCTTTCACCTCATAGTAGTTGTTGTCATCATCCAGACATCCACACTGCTCAATGGGAATACAGCGGCTGCCCCGGAACACAAAACCTGGTTTGCAGAAGCAGCCGCTGATACAGGAGCCAGTGCAGTTGGTGGAGGGTTCTTTACAGCTGGGAATACAAGCTGGACCGCACTCTATGTACTCCGCATTATCAGGGCACTTCACTGTTTGAGGAGAAAAGTAAAATTGTTAAAAAAAAATGTTTGCATCGCTTGATACACTGCACTCAAAAAGTTGTTGAATTTACATGAATCAAACCTGCACATCAGTTCCACACAAATTAAATATGTCACATCAACTTTTTTAAGTAATTACACATAGTAATTATGTTGATGTAACATATTTCATTCATGTGAAGCAAATGTACACATGTGAATCATGCAAATTTAGAGCACTGTTTAAGCAGTTTCCTTCAGTGTTGAATATGAATATTTTACCTGGTGCTGTTGTTGTTGTAGTTGGTTTTGGGGTTGTCGGTTGAGGTGTTGAGGGTGTTGGTGTCGAAGGTCCAGCTGTGGTGGGTTTTGGAGTTGTTGGTTGAGGTGTTGATGCTGTATCTGTAGTTCAGAATTGATAAAGGGAAAGAGGAACAGAGATCAAACCATATATATAATTGTATATATTTCATGTGTGTTCTGTGTTAAGTGTTCCGAGTGCATACACTTCTAGGCTTCTCTTTGTTGCAGATATAAATACTGTACCATTCGGTTTGCAGATGTACTCTCCATCTTGCAGTACGCAGCTCTCTGTAGAGAGGCAGCTGGTGTTGTAGCACTGGATGATTTTTCCACCCAGACACACACACTGCTGCTCACAGTCCTTCAGATACCAGCTCTCGTTTAGCTAAACCACACAAAAATGTAAAGGAACTGAGTGGAGGACTTTCAATAAACAGTACTACTGAATTACAGTACAGGAGAAAATACAGGTCATAGCAGTACTGTGGTGTAGAAATTCAGACAAAGCACTTAAATGTGGGTTTTCTCACTGTGTGACACTCACAGGATGGTAGGAGCCATCAGAGTCCACACAGCCACAGTCTTTGAGAGGAACACACTGGCTGCCGCTCAGGACAAAGCCGGGGTCACATTCACAGCCTTCAACACACTTCTCTCCACAGCCAGGGGGTCCGCTCACACCTACACACGTCTCTGGACAAGAACTCACACATGTAGAGTAGTGGCTGTTCGGGGGACAAACCAGAGCTGTAGAGAAAAAAATACAGACAAAACTGACTTATCAGAAAGAGTGAAACAAGGAAAATGGCACATATTTTATTTTTTGGAGTTTGTGGATTAAGGCTGTTAGACTGTCCTGACATCATGGTTAACCTACAGACTGGAAGGTAACATGAGCTTGTATTTGTCCACGAATAAACACTTAGAGGAAATCAGAGAATCACAAGAAAGTGCTTCGCCACCACCAGTAGAGGTTTTTGTTTCTGCGAGTGACTAAATATGTGTTTAATGCTAGTGTTTTGTTGGCAAGACTCACGGCAGAGGTCTGGCTCCCTCCACTGGTGAACTGGTGCTCCTGCACTGAGACAAGCGTCAGTGTAAGCTTGGAGCTGATCACACAAGGTTTGTTGGAGTCCCTGATAGCGACACATATCATACACACAGCTCTGGAAGAACGGCAGAGGGTCCACCACCTTTATACAATCCCTGTGTGTGACAGAGGGATAAAGAGGGTAAGAGAGAGAGATTTATCAAGAAGTGCAGTAGTCAGTACAATTTTTTGAACGGACTACTCGTGCATTTCCTAACCAAATAAAGCAGGTTCAATCACCTGAATGGTCCAGTGGAGTCTGTGATTTTCCCACATTTCTCTGGTTTAGACACTTCAGCCTCCAGGCTTGGGTCACATGTTGGTTCAGGTGGGACCTCAGACTGGCACCTGAAAACAAAACGGTATAGATTTACAAATTAAACGATTTATATATGAACTGACCAGAGGGAGACTTTACACCTTTTCAATTAACATGAAGATTGTATGATTAATAAAAGCTCATTCCTCACTGGCTTGAAAAAGCCACAGACACTGAGGCATGACACTTATAGGTTGAGGAAAAACGATAAAAACTAACGTCTCATCTTCGTCCTCGTCAGTCTGCCAGCTGTTGCCAAACTGGTTTGCGTTGTTGGCCAGAGAACCATTTGGCTTGGTGAAGTCGTTGTTGGGGTTTCCATTGTAGTCTCCACACAGACCGCACATCTGCTCATAGTAGGTGCTGAGAGAGAAAGAGACAGAGGGAGAGAAAGAGAAATTAACATGAAAACCATTAAAAAAAATTCAGCATCATCATTTAAACTTAGACAGAAGTTTATTTTTAAAAAGTGTGACGCCATTCCTTAAAAATGATGCCATTAACTGAAAATGTGTATTTAGCCACTGATCAACATTTAGACAAATAACAGCAACTATCGTTTTTTTGTTTGGCATACAAAGTCACATCCATTATACACCCAAGGCTGAGTACGTAAAGCTCATCTCTGAAACAGTACCTGGGCACCGTGATCTTAGCGTAGTGGTTGCCATCCCAGCGCACCTCCAGGCCGAAGGGAGTGGTGAGAATGACATACTGCCCAGCCAAGGTCAGAGAGATTAGTGGAGAGGGTGAATGAGGAAGGCCTACTTTCAGTCCGTTCACCTGGAGGGATGGAGAAAAAATATTAAAAAAACAGAAGTCAGAAATAACTTAAATATTTCCTCTCTAGTGAATTCCAGCTTTAGAAGCTTTTAGATAGAATGTGATCTAATTCTGCCAAGCAACTCAATCGTACACCTCATGAAAAACACAAACGTCTGTGCGCTCAACAGTTTATACGAACCAGAATGGTTTTGCTCTTCATCATCATCACAGTGATGCCATCAACAGTCACATACAACTTCTTGAGATACGATACACCAGGGACTCCTCTCTGCTCATTCTTACCTTCCACTGAAAACCAGGGGCCTGCAGAACACAGAAACCAATCAATGAAACCTGACAGAGTATATACGTGTCCAACACATTGTACATTATTTTTGAAAGAATTAGGTCATTTCAAAGCCTATATAATGTATGACTTAGTCTGGACACACAGCACTGCACTTTGTTATGTGTATAATAGACCAACTAAAACATATAAAATATGAAGTTCAAATAGAATAGAAAGTAAGTTGAGCCTGGAGCGGAAACGTCCATTGGAGTGGGGGGCTAACAGAATCCATAATTGTGATTTGCTTACTAGAATATATTCTGCTATTTTTTTTTTTTAGATATCTCTCAGGCCTAGTGTATAATTATGATGTGTAAAAATATTAAAAAAAACCTAAATGTCGTTTCTTAAAGGGCCTACATCCTACATTCACTTATATTTTATATTTTTTATCTGAGGTCCACTTATAATGTTTGTGTGGTTTTAGCTCCCCAAAACATTAAAATTTATCATTCGTTTTACATATAACTGTTTTTCTCTTTTTATCCGTCAACATTAAACAGGATGTTTTTGTTACTGTACTACTAGTATATACTTATAACTATATAGTACTTAAATGTAAAAGAGAGAAACCGTCATTACGTACCAGTGTTGTTTCTGCAGGTGCGGGCCAGCGTGTAGGTGCAGAGTCCCATGAAGGAGTAGTATTTACCATCAAAGGTGTTGTAATGGGGGTCACCAGAGATGATACAATCCTTAAAGTCTAAAAGCCAGTAAAAGAGAGATGAACTCACAACATTTCTTTTGCAACACAAGTTAAATCTGCCTCACACCTGATTAATAATACAGTTCTATAATAACGTACTGACCGACTGGGTAACATCCTATTTGTCCTCCCTGCACACCACACTGCTGCATGGGTGGGCATTCAGCAGCACTGCAGGTGACGAATGGGGGATTACACTTGCACAGCAGATCACAGTCCTTAGTGTAGAACTCCTGCCCAGGCTGAAATTCATAGAGAGAAAAGAGAACATCTTAAAGAACTACACCTTTCACTAATTTGCTGAGTCACTAGAACACATTAACAATCGTAAACACTCACCTGGTAATACTGTCCATTATACGTGCAGCCACACGTGTCTTGTTTCACACACTTGTCACCACTGAGTAAGTAGCCAGGGTCACACACACAGCCCTCAGAGCAGGGTCCAGTGCACTGACTGGGTGGGGGAAGGGTACAGGAAGGCTGGCAAGGGGAGACGCAGGGGTCGTAGTGGCTGTTGGATGGGCAATCGAGAGCTGAAAAAGAAAAAGGTTCCCAATTATTTTAGTTTAGCGTAATGATAAAAGCTACAAGCAAACATATTCACATTAGATTGGAAAAGTGGCGTCCTATGAGAGTGAAATACAGCAGACCAAAACCTAGTCTGTACTTTAGATATAGCGTGATTTTATGGTTTCTGAGAGACTTACGACAGAAGGTGCTGTTTCTCCAGGCACCGATGTTGACCCCACGGTCCTGGCACTCGTTGACGTAGGCTTCAATCGCTTCACACAAAGCAGAGTGAGGGCCGCCCAGCGCACACAGATCATATACACAGTTTTTGAAGAAACTCTGCACAAACACACAGAGTTAAAATGAATGACAGCATTAATATTAACAGACTAGCGTTAAATGCTTAGATGTAAATGACCTGGTCTGATTAACTCACATTAGGATTGACTTTTGGGTGGCACACAGCAAATGGACCATTGCTGTCCAGTATGATACCACAGTATGCTGGACTCTCATAAAGGTCCTGTTCAGTTTCTGTGCAGCCAGGGGGTGGGACCTCTGGGGTCTTGTTGCAGCTGGAGAGCAAATGAGAACAGCAGTCAATCTCCATTTAATCTCATATACAGTTACAGGAGGGGAAAAGGAAATGTGATTCCTCAGTATAGAGAAGAACTAATCAGCCTGTACAATACAATATCAAAGACTCACTCAGGGTCTGTGTTCCAGCTGTTGCCAAACTCAGTTGGATTGTTGACCAGTTCACCAGAGGGGGTGCGGAAGTCGTCCTTATAGTTGCCATTATAGTCACCACACAGGCCACACAACTTGTCCTGATAGCTGCACAAACAAACGAGCATGTTACATAAGACATGCTGTTTTAACAAAACACTAATATTTACCAGTTTAACACAACACTCACTCTTTGATGACTTTGATGTCCATGTAGTGGTTACCATCATAACGAACAGTTACGCCAAAGTCCATGACCACTGTGTAGAGTGTCCCAGATTTGAAAACATCTACTCCAGACACCGGACTCAAAGGAATGTTCACATTCGTTCCGTTCAGCTGAGAACAGATGGAAAACAGAACTTACGACACTGCTGTAGGATACAACTTCACTTCCTACACTCATGATATCTTTGTTCTCTCACCTGCACAACTCCTCCTTTCAGGATGGACACCTTCACTCCCCGAACGTGGACATGGACAGCACTAACATAGCTGACCCAGGGGTTGTTGAAGCGATTCTCATTCTCAGCATAAACAGCAAAGTAAGGCACATCTGTGCTGTTGCACGGTTCAGACATCAAGTAGGTGCAGTTGCCCATGAAGTCATAACTGCGCTTGTCAAAGGTGGTGTAGTGGGGGTCAGCCGAGGCAATACAGATGGAGGTGTCTGTAGGTAGAAGAGATCAACAAAGAACCTCAGTTAAACTAGCATGCTGACACTGTTTGTTAAATCCACAGTAAACCAACGCAGTGTGGAATAATACAACATCCTGAAGGGTAACATAATTCAAGACAAATATCACACACACCTTTAGGATAGCAGCCATAGACTCCTCCCACTTCCCGACACTCTTCTGTGGGGTCACAGGTGTTGTCCACACAGCTCAGGGTGTAATTGCCTGCACAGCGACACAGCTTGGAGCAGCCATTCCCAAAGACAATCTCTCCAGGCTGGAAAAAATCAGTTAAGTTACTTTCAACACCAACACCCTCAACACCTCGACCAACAACTCAGGTTGACCTGAATGCAAAGCTGTCTTAATCAACTGTGTATTCCTTTCACCTCATAGTAGTTGTTGTCATCATCCAGACATCCACACTGCTCAATGGGAATACAGCGTCTGCCCCGGAACACAAAACCTGGTTTGCAGAAGCAGCCGCTGATACAGGAGCCAGTGCAGTTGGTGGAGGGTTCTTTACAGCTGGGAATACAAGCTGGACCGCACTCTATGTACTCCGCATTATCAGGGCACTTCACTGTTTGAGGAGAAAAGTAAAATTGTTAAAAAAAATGTTTGCATCGCTTGATACACTGCACTCAAAAAGTTGTTGAATTTACATGAATCAAACCTGCACATCAGTTCCACACAAATTAAATATGTCACATCAACTTTTGTAAGTACTTACACATAGTAATTATGTAATTATCAAGTGCCCTTGAGCAAGGCACCTAACCCCCAACTGCTCCCCGGGCGCCGTGGATAGGGCTGCCCACCGCTCCGGGCAAGTGTGCTCACTGCCCCCTAGTGTGTGTGTGTTCACTAGTGTGTATGTGGTGTTTCACTGCACGGATGGGTTAAATGTGGAGGTCTAATTCCGATGTGTTCAGACACAGTTGGCTAAAAGGTTCATTTCATTCTTTCATTTTATGTTGATGCAACATATTTCATTCATGTGAAGCAAATGTACACATGTGAATCATGCAAATTTAGAGCACTGTTTAAGCAGTTTCCTTCAGTGTTGAATATGAATATTTTACCTGGTGCTGTTGTTGTTGTAGTTGGTTTTGGGGTTGTCGGTTGAGGTGTTGAGGGTGTTGGTGTCGAAGGTCCAGCTGTGGTGGGTTTTGGAGTTGTTGGTTGAGGTGTTGATGCTGTATCTGTAGTTCAGAATTGATAAAGGGAAAGAGGAACAGAGATCAAACCATATATATAATTGTATATATTTCATGTGTGTTCTGTGTTAAGTGTTCCGAGTGCATACACTTCTAGGCTTCTCTTTGTTGCAGATATAAATACTGTACCATTCGGTTTGCAGATGTACTCTCCATCTTGCAGTACGCAGCTCTCTGTAGAGAGGCAGCTGGTGTTGTAGCACTGGATGATTTTTCCACCCAGACACACGCACTGCTGCTCACAGTCCTTCAGATACCAGCTCTCATTTAGCTAAACCACACAAAAATGTAAAGGAACTGAGTGGAGGACTTTCAATAAACAGTACTACTGAATTACAGTACGGTAGGAAATACAGGTCATAGCAGTACTGTGGTGTAGAAATTCAGACAAAGCACTTAAATGTGGGTTTTCTCACTGTGTGACACTCACAGGATGGTAGGAGCCATCAGAGTCCACACAGCCACAGTCTTTGAGAGGAACACACCGGCTGCCGCTCAGGACAAAGCCGGGGTCACATTCACAGCCTTCAACACACTTCTCTCCGCAGCCAGGGGGTCCGCTCACACCTACACACGTCTCTGGACAAGAACTCACACATGTAGAGTAGTGGCTGTTCGGGGGACAAACCAGAGCTGTAGAGAAAAAATTACAGGCAAAACTGACTTATCAGAGAGAGTGAAACAAGGAAAATGGCACATATTTTATTTTTTGGAGTTTGTGGATTAAGGCTGTTAGATTGTCCTGACATCATGGTTAACCTACAAACTGGAAGGTAACATGAGCTTGTATCTGTCCACGAATAAACACTTAGAGGAAATCAGAGAATCACAAGAAAGTGCTTTGCCACCACCAGTAGAGGTTTTTGTTTCTGCGAGTGACTAAATATGTGTTTAATGCTAGTGTTTTGTTGGCAAGACTCACGGCAGAAGTCTGGCTCCCTCCACTGGTGAACTGGTGCTCCTGCACTGAGACAAGCGTCAGTGTAAGCTTGGAGCTGATCACACAAGGTTTGTTGGAGTCCCTGATAGCGACACATATCATACACACAGCTCTGGAAGAACGGCAGAGGGTCCACCACCTTTATACAATCCCTGTGTGTGACAGAGGGATAAAGAGGGTAAGAAAGAGAGATTTATCAAGAAGTGCAGTAGTCAGTACAATTTTTTGAACGGACTACTCGTGCATTTCCTAACCAAATAAAGCAGGTTCAATCACCTGAATGGTCCAGTGGAGTCTGTGATTTTCCCACATTTCTCTGGTTTAGACACTTCAGCCTCCAGGCTTGGGTCACATGTTGGTTCAGGTGGGACCTCAGACTGGCACCTGAAAACAAAATGGTATAGATTTACAAATTAAACGATTTATATATGAACTGACCAGAGGGAGACTTTACACCTTTTCAATTAACATGAAGATTGTACGATTAATAAAAGCTCATTCCTCACTGGCTTGAAAAAGCCACAGACACTGAGGCATGACACTTATAGGTTGAGGAAAAACGATAAAAACTAACGTGTCATCTTCGTCCTCGTCAGTCTGCCAGCTGTTGCCAAACTGGTTTGCGTTGTTGGCCAGAGAACCATTTGGCTTGGTGAAGTCGTTGTTGGGGTTTCCATTGTAGTCTCCACACAGACCGCACATCTGCTCATAGTAGGTGCTGAGAGAGAAAGAGACAGAGGGAGAGAAAGAGAAATTACTATGAAAACCATTAAAAAAATTCAGCATCATCATTTAAACTTAGACAGAAGTTTATTTTTAAAAAGTGTGACGCCATTCCCTAAAAATGATGCCATTAACTGAAAATGTGTATTTAGCCACTGATCAACATTTAGACAAATAACAGCAACTATCGTTTTTTGTTTGGCATACAAAGTCACATCCATTATACACCCAAGGCTGAGTACGTAAAGCTCATCTCTGAAACAGTACCTGGGCACTGTGATCTTAGCGTAGTGGTTGCCATCCCAGCGCACCTCCAGGCCGAAGGGAGTGGTAAGAATGACATACTGCCCAGCCAAGGTCAGAGAGATTAGTGGAGAGGGTGAATGAGGAAGGCCTACTTTCAGTCCGTTCACCTGGAGGGATGGAGAAAAAATATTAAAAAAACAGAAGTCAGAAATAACTTAAATATTTCCTCTCTAGTGAATTCCAGCTTTAGAAGCTTTTAGATAGAACGTGATCTAATTCTGCCAAGCAACTCAATCGTACACCTCATGAAAAACACAAACGTCTGTGCGCTCAACAGTTTATACGAACCAGAATGGTTTTGCTCTTCATCATCGTCACAGTGATGCCATCAACAGTCACATACAACTTCTTGAGATACGATACACCAGGGACTCCTCTCTGCTCATTCTTACCTTCCACTGAAAACCAGGGGCCTGCAGAACACAGAAACCAATCAATGAAACCTGACAGAGTATATACGTGTCCAACACATTGTACATTATTTTTGAAAGAATTAGGTCATTTCAAAGCCTATATAATGTATGACTTAGTCTGGACACACAGCACTGCACTTTGTCATGTGTATAATAGACCAACTAAAACATATAAAATATGAAGTTCAAATAGAATAGAAAGTAAGTTGAGCCTGGAGCGGAAACGTCCATTGGAGTGGGGGGCTAACAGAATCCATAATTGTGATTTGCTTACTAGAATATATTCTGCTATTTTTTTTTTTTAGATATCTCTCAGGCCTAGTGTATAATTATGATGTGTAAAAATATTTAAAAAAAACTAAATGTCGTTTCTTAAAGGGCCTACATCCTACATTCACTTATATTTTATTTTTTTTATCTGAGGTCCACTTATAATGTTTGTGTGGTTTTAGCTCCCCAAAACATTAAAATTTATCATTCGTTTTACATATAACTGTTTTTCTCTTTTTATCCGTCAACATTAAACAGGATGTTTTTGTTACTGTACTACTAGTATATACTTATAACTATATAGTACTTAAATGCAAAAGAGAGAAACCGTCATTACGTACCAGTGTTGTTTCTGCAGGTGCGGGCCAGCGTGTAGGTGCAGAGTCCCATGAAGGAGTAGTATTTACCATCAAAGGTGTTGTAATGGGGGTCACCAGAGATGATACAATCCTTGAAGTCTAAAAGCCAGTAAAAGAGAGATGAACTCACAACATTTCTTTTGCAACACAAGTTAAATCTGCCTCACACCTGATTAATAATACAGTTCTATAATAACGTACTGACCGACTGGGTAACATCCTATTTGTCCTCCCTGCACACCACACTGCTGCATGGGTGGGCATTCAGCAGCACTGCAGGTGACGAATGGGGGATTACACTTGCACAGCAGATCACAGTCCTTAGTGTAGAACTCCTGCCCAGGCTAAAATTCATAGAGAGAAAAGAGAACATCTTAAAGAACTACACCTTTCACTAATTTGCTGAGTCACTAGAACACATTAACAATCGTAAACACTCACCTGGTAATACTGTCCATTATACGTGCAGCCACACGTGTCTTGTTTCACACACTTGTCACCACTGAGTAAGTAGCCAGGGTCACACACACAGCCCTCAGAGCAGGGTCCAGTGCACTGACTGGGTGGGGGAAGGGTACAGGAAGGCTGGCAAGGGGAGACGCAGGGGTCGTAGTGGCTGTTGGATGGGCAATCGAGAGCTGAAAAAGAAAAAGGTTCCCAATTATTTTAGTTTAGCGTAATGATAAAAGCTACAAGCAAACATATTCACATTAGATTGGAAAAGTGGCGTCCTATGAGAGTGAAATACAGCAGACCAAAACCTAGTCTGTACTTTAGATATAGCGTGATTTTATGGTTTCTGAGAGACTTACGACAGAAGGTGCTGTTTCTCCAGGCACCGATGTTGACCCCACGGTCCTGGCACTCGTTGACGTAGGCTTCAATCGCTTCACACAAAGCAGAGTGAGGGCCGCCCAGCGCACACAGATCATATACACAGTTTTTGAAGAAACTCTGCACAAACACACAGAGTTAAAATGAATGACAGCATTAATATTAACAGACTAGCGTTAAATGCTTAGATGTAAATGACCTGGTCTGATTAACTCACATTAGGATTGACTTTTGGGTGGCACACAGCAAATGGACCATTGCTGTCCAGTATGATACCACAGTATGCTGGACTCTCATAAAGGTCCTGTTCAGTTTCTGTGCAGCCAGGGGGTGGGACCTCTGGGGTCTTGTTGCAGCTGGAGAGCAAATGAGAACAGCAGTCAATCTCCATTTAATCTCATATACAGTTACAGGAGGGGAAAAGGAAATGTGATTCCTCAGTATAGAGAAGAACTAATCAGCCTGTACAATACAATATCAAAGACTCACTCAGGGTCTGTGTTCCAGCTGTTGCCAAACTCAGTTGGATTGTTGACCAGTTCACCAGAGGGGGTGCGGAAGTCGTCCTTATAGTTGCCATTATAGTCACCACACAGGCCACACAACTTGTCCTGATAGCTGCACAAACAAACGAGCATGTTACATAAGACATGCTGTTTTAGCAAAACACTAATATTTACCAGTTTAACACAACACTCACTCTTTGATGACTTTGATGTCCATGTAGTGGTTACCATCATAACGAACAGTTACGCCAAAGTCCATGACCACTGTGTAGAGTGTCCCAGATTTGAAAACATCTACTCCAGACACCGGACTCAAAGGAATGTTCACATTCGTTCCGTTCAGCTGAGAACAGATGGAAAACAGAACTTACGACACTGCTGTAGGATACAACTTCACTTCCTACACTCATGATATCTTTGTTCTCTCACCTGCACAACTCCTCCTTTCAGGATGGACACCTTCACTCCCCGAACGTGGACATGGACAGCACTAACATAGCTGACCCAGGGGTTGTTGAAGCGATTCTCATTCTCAGCATAAACAGCAAAGTAAGGCACATCTGTGCTGTTGCACGGTTCAGACATCAAGTAGGTGCAGTTGCCCATGAAGTCATAACTGCGCTTGTCAAAGGTGGTGTAGTGGGGGTCAGATGAAGCAATACAGATGGAGGTGTCTGTAGGTAGAAGAGATCAACAAAGCACCTCAGTTAAACTAGCATGCTGACACTGTTTGTTAAATCCACAGTAAACCAACGCAGTGTGGAATAGTACAACATCCTGAAGGGTAACATAATTCAAGACAAATATCACACACACCTTTAGGATAGCAGCCATAGACTCCTCCCACTTCCCGACACTCTTCTGTGGGGTCACAGGTGTTGTCCACACAGCTCAGGGTGTAATTGCCTGCACAGCGACACAGCTTGGAGCAGCCATTCCCAAAGACAATCTCTCCAGGCTGGAAAAAATCAGTTAAGTTACTTTCAACACCAACACCCTCAACACCTCGACCAACAACTCAGGTTGACCTGAATGCAAAGCTGTCTTAATCAACTGTGTATTCCTTTCACCTCATAGTAGTTGTTGTCATCATCCAGACATCCACACTGCTCAATGGGAATACAGCGGCTGCCCCGGAACACAAAACCTGGTTTGCAGAAGCAGCCGCTGATACAGGAGCCAGTGCAGTTGGTGGAGGGTTCTTTACAGCTGGGAATACAAGCTGGACCGCACTCTATGTACTCCGCATTATCAGGGCACTTCACTGTTTGAGGAGAAAAGTAAAATTGTTAAAAAAAATGTTTGCATCGCTTGATACACTGCACTCAAAAAGTTGTTGAATTTACATGAATCAAACCTGCACATCAGTTCCACACAAATTAAATATGTCACATCAACTTTTGTAAGTACTTACACATAGTAATTATGTAATTATCAAGTGCCCTTGAGCAAGGCACCTAACCCCCAACTGCTCCCCGGGCGCCGTGGATAGGGCTGCCCACCGCTCCGGGCAAGTGTGCTCACTGCCCCCTAGTGTGTGTGTGTTCACTAGTGTGTATGTGGTATTTCACTGCACGGATGGGTTAAATGCGGAGGTCTAATTCCGATGTGTTCAGACACAGTTGGCTAAAAGGTTCATTTCATTCTTTCATTTTATGTTGATGCAACATATTTCATTCATGTGAAGCAAATGTACACATGTGAATCATGCAAATTTAGAGCACTGTTTAAGCAGTTTCCTTCAGTGTTGAATATGAATATTTTACCTGGTGCTGTTGTTGTTGTACTTGGTTTTGGGGTTGTCGGTTGAGGTGTTGAGGGTGTTGGTGTCGAAGGTCCAGCTGTGGTGGGTTTTGGAGTTGTTGGTTGAGGTGTTGATGCTGTATCTGTAGTTCAGAATTGATAAAGGGAAAGAGGAACAGAGATCAAACCATATATATAATTGTATATATTTCATGTGTGTTCTGTGTTAAGTGTTCCGAGTGCATACACTTCTAGGCTTCTCTTTGTTGCAGATATAAATACTGTACCATTCGGTTTGCAGATGTACTCTCCATCTTGCAGTACGCAGCTCTCTGTAGAGAGGCAGCTGGTGTTGTAGCACTGGATGATTTTTCCACCCAGACACACACACTGCTGCTCACAGTCCTTCAGATACCAGCTCTCGTTTAGCTAAACCACACAAAAATGTAAAGGAACTGAGTGGAGGACTTTCAATAAACAGTACTACTGAATTACAGTACGGTAGGAAATACAGGTCATAGCAGTACTGTGGTGTAGAAATTCAGACAAAGCACTTAAATGTGGGTTTTCTCACTGTGTGACACTCACAGGATGGTAGGAGCCATCAGAGTCCACACAGCCACAGTCTTTGAGAGGAACACACTGGCTGCCGCTCAGGACAAAGCCGGGGTCACATTCACAGCCTTCAACACACTTCTCTCCGCAGCCAGGGGGTCCGCTCACACCTACACACGTCTCTGGACAAGAACTCACACATGTAGAGTAGTGGCTGTTCGGGGGACAAACCAGAGCTGTAGAGAAAAAATACAGGCAAAACTGACTTATCAGAGAGAGTGAAACAAGGAAAATGGCACATATTTTATTTTTTGGAGTTTGTGGATTAAGGCTGTTAGACTGTCCTGACATCATGGTTAACCTACAAACTGGAAGGTAACATGAGCTTGTATTTGTCCACGAATAAACACTTAGAGGAAATCAGAGAATCACAAGAAAGTGCTTTGCCACCACCAGTAGAGGTTTTTGTTTCTGCGAGTGACTAAATATGTGTTTAATGCTAGTGTTTTGTTGGCAAGACTCACGGCAGAAGTCTGGCTCCCTCCACTGGTGAACTGGTGCTCCTGCACTGAGACAAGCGTCAGTGTAAGCTTGGAGCTGATCACACAAGGTTTGTTGGAGTCCCTGATAGCGACACATATCATACACACAGCTCTGGAAGAACGGCAGAGGGTCCACCACCTTTATACAATCCCTGTGTGTGACAGAGGGATAAAGAGGGTAAGAGAGAGAGATTTATCAAGAAGTGCAGTAGTCAGTACAATTTTTTGAACGGACTACTCGTGCATTTCCTAACCAAATAAAGCAGGTTCAATCACCTGAATGGTCCAGTGGAGTCTGTGATTTTCCCACATTTCTCTGGTTTAGACACTTCAGCCTCCAGGCTTGGGTCACATGTTGGTTCAGGTGGGACCTCAGACTGGCACCTGAAAACAAAATGGTATAGATTTACAAATTAAACGATTCATATATGAACTGACCAGAGGGAGACTTTACACCTTTTCAATTAACATGAAGATTGTACGATTAATAAAAGCTCATTCCTCACTGGCTTGAAAAAGCCACAGACACTGAGGCATGACACTTATAGGTTGAGGAAAAACGATAAAAACTAACGTGTCATCTTCGTCCTCGTCAGTCTGCCAGCTGTTGCCAAACTGGTTTGCGTTGTTGGCCAGAGAACCATTTGGCTTGGTGAAGTCGTTGTTGGGGTTTCCATTGTAGTCTCCACACAGACCGCACATCTGCTCATAGTAGGTGCTGAGAGAGAAAGAGACAGAGGGAGAGAAAGAGAAATTACTATGAAAACCATTAAAAAAAATTCAGCATCATCATTTAAACTTAGACAGAAGTTTATTTTTAAAAAGTGTGACGCCATTCCCTAAAAATGATGCCATTAACTGAAAATGTGTATTTAGCCACTGATCAACATTTAGACAAATAACAGCAACTATCGTTTTTTGTTTGGCATACAAAGTCACATCCATTATACACCCAAGGCTGAGTACGTAAAGCTCATCTCTGAAACAGTACCTGGGCACCGTGATCTTAGCGTAGTGGTTGCCATCCCAGCGCACCTCCAGGCCGAAGGGAGTGGTAAGAATGACATACTGCCCAGCCAAGGTCAGAGAGATTAGTGGAGAGGGTGAATGAGGAAGGCCTACTTTCAGTCCGTTCACCTGGAGGGATGGAGAAAAAATATTAAAAAAACAGAAGTCAGAAATAACTTAAATATTTCCTCTCTAGTGAATTCCAGCTTTAGAAGCTTTTAGATAGAATGTGATCTAATTCTGCCAAGCAACTCAATCGTACACCTCATGAAAAACACAAATGTCTGTGCGCTCAACAGTTTATACGAACCAGAATGGTTTTGCTCTTCATCATCGTCACAGTGATGCCATCAACAGTCACATACAACTTCTTGAGATACGATACACCAGGGACTCCTCTCTGCTCATTCTTACCTTCCACTGAAAACCAGGGGCCTGCAGAACACAGAAACCAATCAATGAAACCTGACAGAGTATATACGTGTCCAACACATTGTACATTATTTTTGAAAGAATTAGGTCATTTCAAAGCCTATATAATGTATGACTTAGTCTGGACACACAGCACTGCACTTTGTCATGTGTATAATAGACCAACTAAAACATATAAAATATGAAGTTCAAATAGAATAGAAAGTAAGTTGAGCCTGGAGCGGAAACGTCCATTGGAGTGGGGGGCTAACAGAATCCATAATTGTGGTTTGCTTACTAGAATATATTCTGCTATTTTTTTTTTTTAGATATCTCTCAGGCCTAGTGTATAATTATGATGTGTAAAAATATTTAAAAAAAACTAAATGTCGTTTCTTAAAGGGCCTACATCCTACATTCACTTATATTTTATTTTTTTTATCTGAGGTCCACTTATAATGTTTGTGTGGTTTTAGCTCCCCAAAACATTAAAATTTATCATTCGTTTTACATATAACTGTTTTTCTCTTTTTATCCGTCAACATTAAACAGGTGTTTTTGTTACTGTACTACTAGTATATACTTATAACTATATAGTACTTAAATGCAAAAGAGAGAAACCGTCATTACGTACCAGTGTTGTTTCTGCAGGTGCGGGCCAGCGTGTAGGTGCAGAGTCCCATGAAGGAGTAGTATTTACCATCAAAGGTGTTGTAATGGGGGTCACCAGAGATGATACAATCCTTGAAGTCTAAAAGCCAGTAAAAGAGAGATGAACTCACAACATTTCTTTTGCAATACAAGTTAAATCTGCCTCACACCTGATTAATAATACAGTTCTATAATAACGTACTGACCGACTGGGTAACATCCTATTTGTCCTCCCTGCACACCACACTGCTGCATGGGTGGGCATTCAGCAGCACTGCAGGTGACGAATGGGGGATTACACTTGCACAGCAGATCACAGTCCTTAGTGTAGAACTCCTGCCCAGGCTGAAATTCATAGAGAGAAAAGAGAACATCTTAAAGAACTACACCTTTCACTAATTTGCTGAGTCACTAGAACACATTAACAATCGTAAACACTCACCTGGTAATACTGTCCATTATACGTGCAGCCACACGTGTCTTGTTTCACACACTTGTCACCACTGAGTAAGTAGCCAGGGTCACACACACAGCCCTCAGAGCAGGGTCCAGTGCACTGACTGGGTGGGGGAAGGGTACAGGAAGGCTGGCAAGGGGAGACGCAGGGGTCGTAGTGGCTGTTGGATGGGCAATCGAGAGCTGAAAAAGAAAAAGGTTCCCAATTATTTTAGTTTAGCGTAATGATAAAAGCTACAAGCAAACATATTCACATTAGATTGGAAAAGTGGCGTCCTATGAGAGTGAAATACAGCAGACCAAAACCTAGTCTGTACTTTAGATATAGCGTGATTTTATGGTTTCTGAGAGACTTACGACAGAAGGTGCTGTTTCTCCAGGCACCGATGTTGACCCCACGGTCCTGGCACTCGTTGACGTAGGCTTCAATCGCTTCACACAAAGCAGAGTGAGGGCCGCCCAGCGCACACAGATCATATACACAGTTTTTGAAGAAACTCTGCACAAACACACAGAGTTAAAATGAATGACAGCATTAATATTAACAGACTAGCGTTAAATGCTTAGATGTAAATGACCTGGTCTGATTAACTCACATTAGGATTGACTTTTGGGTGGCACACAGCAAATGGACCATTGCTGTCCAGTATGATACCACAGTATGCTGGACTCTCATAAAGGTCCTGTTCAGTTTCTGTGCAGCCAGGGGGTGGGACCTCTGGGGTCTTGTTGCAGCTGGAGAGCAAATGAGAACAGCAGTCAATCTCCATTTAATCTCATATACAGTTACAGGAGGGGAAAAGGAAATGTGATTCCTCAGTATAGAGAAGAACTAATCAGCCTGTACAATACAATATCAAAGACTCACTCAGGGTCTGTGTTCCAGCTGTTGCCAAACTCAGTTGGACTGTTGACCAGTTCACCAGAGGGGGTGCGGAAGTCGTCCTTATAGTTGCCATTATAGTCACCACACAGGCCACACAACTTGTCCTGATAGCTGCACAAACAAACGAGCATGTTACATAAGACATGCTGTTTTAACAAAACACTAATATTTACCAGTTTAACACAACACTCACTCTTTGATGACTTTGATGTCCATGTAGTGGTTACCATCATAACGAACAGTTACGCCAAAGTCCATGACCACTGTGTAGAGTGTCCCAGATTTGAAAACATCTACTCCAGACACCGGACTCAAAGGAATGTTCACATTCGTTCCGTTCAGCTGAGAACAGATGGAAAACAGAACTTACGACACTGCTGTAGGATACAACTTCACTTCCTACACTCATGATATCTTTGTTCTCTCACCTGCACAACTCCTCCTTTCAGGATGGACACCTTCACTCCCCGAACGTGGACATGGACAGCACTAACATAGCTGACCCAGGGGTTGTTGAAGCGATTCTCATTCTCAGCATAAACAGCAAAGTAAGGCACATCTGTGCTGTTGCACGGTTCAGACATCAAGTAGGTGCAGTTGCCCATGAAGTCATAATTACGCTTGTCAAAGGTGGTGTAGTGGGGGTCAGCCGAGGCGATACAGATGGAGGTGTCTGTAGGTAGAAGAGATAAACAAAGAACTTCAGTTAACCTAGCATGCTGACACTGTTAAACCCATAATAATCCAAAGCAGTGTGGAATATTACAACATCCTGAAGGGTAACATAATTCAAGACAAATATCACACACACCTTTAGGATAGCAGCCATAGACTCCTCCCACTTCCCGACACTCTTCTGTGGGGTCACAGGTGTTGTCCACACAGCTCAGGGTGTAATTGCCAGCACAGCGACACAGCTTGGAGCAGCCATTCCCAAAGACAATCTCTCCAGGCTGGAAAAAATCAGTTAAGTTACATTCACTGAACTAAATGCAAAGCTGTCTTAATCAACTGTGTATTCCTTTCACCTCATAGTAGTTGTTGTCATCATCCAGACATCCACACTGCTCAATGGGAATACAGCGTCTGCCCCGGAACACAAAACCTGGTTTGCAGAAGCAGCCGCTGATACAGGAGCCAGTGCAGTTGGTGGAGGGTTCTTTACAGCTGGGAATACAAGCTGGACCGCACTCTATGTACTCCGCATTATCAGGGCACTTCACTGTTTGAGGAGAAAAGTAAAATTGTTAAAAAATGGTTTCACTGCTTGGCACATTATTTAGACCAGAATATTTTTCATTTTTACCAGGTGCTGTTGTTGCTGTAGTAGTAGGTTTTGGAGTTGTTGGTTGAGGTGTTGAGGGTGTTGGTGTCGAAGGTCCAGCTGTGGTGGGTTTTGGAGTTGTTGGCTGTGGTGTTGATGCTGTATCTGCAGTTCAGAATTGATTGTATATATTTCATTTATGTTCTGCGTTAAGTGTTCTGAGTGCATACATTTGTACGCTTATTTATGTTGTATATAAAAATGCTTTACCATTCGGTTTGCAGATGTACTCTCCATCTTGCAGTACGCAGCTCTCTGTAGAGAGGCAGCTGGTGTTGTAGCACTGGATGATTTTTCCACCCAGACACACACACTGCTGCTCACAGTCCTTCAGATACCAGCTCTCGTTTAGCTAAACCACACAAAAATGTAAAGAAACTGAGCGGAAGACTCTGAATAAACAGTACTACTGAATTACAGTACAGTAGAAAATACAGGTCATAGCAGTACTGTGGTGTAGAAATTCAGACAAAGCATTTAAATGTGGGTTTTCTCACTGTGTGACACTCACAGGATGGTAGGAGCCATCAGAGTCCACACAGCCACAGTCTTTGAGAGGAACACACTGGCTGCCGCTCAGGACAAAGCCGGGGTCACATTCACAGCCTTCAACACACTTCTCTCCGCAGCCAGGGGGTCCGCTCACACCTACACACGTCTCTGGACATGAACTCACACAGGTAGAGTAGTGGCTGTTCGGAGGACAAACCAGAGCTGTAGAGAAAAAATACAAGCAAAACTAACTTAATGTAAGAACGTGAAACCAGGAAAATGGCACATCTTTTTATTTTTTGGAGTTTGTGGATTAAGGCTGTTGAATTCTTTTGACCTTGTGGTTGTATTTGTATTTGTCCATAGAACAACACTGGTAATTAGAGGGGGCTGACGTGGCAAAAATGTAATATCACGATACACGATATGTCACCATATTTATTTTTTCTGTCCTCTGATAAGTTGGAACAGACAAAGTAGTGCCACATTTAATGTGTATAACACTATCAAATGCTATCTGTACTTAACATCTCACTTCACAATACTGTGACACATTGTGGTGTAATTGTTCATGATAACATTGTCATATTATCTGGCCCTACCAGCAATATTCATGATTTTTTTCATACTAAAAATTAAGCTTTCATTTTGGGTCAAACAGAGACACAAGTAATCTTAAGCATCAAACTCTACAAGGAAGTGCTTTACTGCCACCAGCAGAGAACAGCTTTCTATAGAGTTGCTGAAATTTTTCTTTATGTTGGTATATTGTTGGCAAGACTCACGGCAGAAGTCTGGCTCCCTCCACTGGTGAACTGGTGCTCCTGCACTGAGACAAGCATCAGTGTAAGCCTGGAGCTGATCACACAAGGTTTGTTGGAGTCCCTGATAGCGACACATATCAAACACACAGCTCTGGAAGAACGGCAGAGGGTCCACCACCTTTATGCAATCCCTGTGTGTGAAGTAGGGTGAGCAGTGGTGAGAGGGATAAACAATTAGAGAGAGAAGAGAGAAAAAGAAATATAGTCACATATAGTTACAAGGGCAAAAATCATTTATAACCATACATACCTTACTTTTTATAATTTGTATCAAATAAATACACCTGTACAAACGTAGTGGATTCTCCACAAGTATCAGCAGATAATTTTATCATACCTCAATTTTCAAAATTTTGTCTTAAGAAAAGATGAGAAAGAATGAGAGGTTTATATAACTTAAAATTCACAATAGTCATCATGCTGTCTTCCTCACCTGTTTTTGGAGTGTTTTCAGTCTAATTTAAATGAATAACAAACTGGAAAAGAAACCCACAAGACCACTAAGGATAGCTCAGAAACTTTATAATATTTCCTCTATTGAATTAGAGAGTAAACTTGGGAACTTGGGGGAAAATTATGATTGAATAATAAAACTGAGATAGAGTTGGCGCGTTCCAATCGGGAGGCAGCTGTCTAAGTAGGCAGGATTTTAAGGCAGCATTTGCACGCTCTCAAGACGAAGGCTGTCCTATTCGGGAAGGCAGTTTGTGTAAAGTATTCAGCATATTTGTGTTCAGATATCTAGAAATTGTTCCTGTGGTGAAATTTGGCAGTTCGCTTGTCTAAGGTGACTTGACAGGCTGTGTGTTTGTAACTAGGTGAAGCTAACATTAGTTAGCTTAGCTAGCTGGCTAGCTGTGTAAATGCGCTGGTTCTTCAAAACGAGAGAGAGAGACCAGTTTAAAATATCGGCTGTGCACTGTTTAGTAGTGCTTTTTGTATGTAAATACCAGTTTGATTCTACACTCGGGGATTTTTTCTGTCCTCAGGAACTAAGTTAACGTTACGTATTTGGGGAAAACACAGTGGAACCAGAGCTACAGACTGACGTACTCCCTGAACAATGAAAAATACTTTAACTAACTGGATGATGTAGAAGTTCAGAAATAAAATGTTCTTAAAAATAAATACCATAAATGCTTTTGCCTGCTGCACTTGTCTTGTATTGGTGTGCTTTCCACAGTCGCAACAGTGTTAGGTGAATGTTGACGGCTAAATTTCAGACTAGGAGCTCATAAATCATTTGGGAATGCATAAAATAAAATGCATATTAGCCAGCTTAACAGACTGTGTGCGATCCTTTTTCTGAGCGCACTTTGTACAAAATTACACATAGTTTTTATCCTTTGTGTGTTAGGAACAAAGCAGGTTCATTACGGTGGATGAGGACAGTGAATTAATTGAAATGATTCACTAATAGTCTAATAGCCTATTAACAGTCACAATTATCTGTATTTATCTGGGAGGCCGAGTCGAGTATATAACAACAGACATGTTAAACCAGCCTGTTCTTCAAACACAAATTTCCACAACAGTGTCAATGCAGGAAAACAGCTGCCGTCCTTTTACACTGAGATAATCCACCTTTACAGTCGGAGCTGAGTGTAAGCTAACCAGTGACTGCGAGTAAACAGAACAAACTTTCAGCTGCTTTCACTATGTGTTCCTTAAATGTCGTGAAATTTATTTGTGTGAGATTCTCTCACCTGAATGGTCCAGTGGAGTCTGTGATTTTCCCACAGTTCTCTGGTTTGGACACTTCAGCCTCTAGGCTTGGGTCACATGGTGGCTCAGGTGGAATCACAGGCTTGCACCTGACAACACGGTGTTACAGAGATACACTTTAAGCCATCTTCACATGAACTGACCTGACAGAGACATCAGTAACATCATACCTTGTGAATTATCCTGGAAGTTATATGATTAATAAAAGCTGATTGGGCCTATTCCTTACAGGAATGAAAACGCTATAGATACAGATGCATGACACAAATACGGTAAGGAAAAACAACAGAAACTAACGTGTCATCTTCGTCTTCATCAGTTTGCCAGCTATTGCCAAACTGGTTTGCGCTGTCAGCCAGAGAACCATCTGGCTTGGTGAGGTCGTTGTTGGGGTTTCCATTATAGTCTCCACACAGACCGCACATCTGCTCATAGTAGGTGCTAAAAAAGAGAGAGAGAAAGAGAGAGAGACCATAGGGGATTACTCAAGACATGTTTTGGGGACTTACCCAGTAAACAGTTACCCAGATCATAGTGTTTCCTGAATTAGTGCTTTTGACTGAAATTCTGAAAAGTCTTCCAAATTTCAGACTTATTTACTATGATACAGGTTACATTTTTTCCTGGATTAATGGATACTTCACTATAGCGAAGACACACAGAGATGTGCTGGATTGCAATACTGAGTGTAACAAAATTTACAGTTGCATGTTTATACTGTGACCCCCGATCAGGGTGATTGTACACTGTAAGTATGTCTCTGAGGGTCAACCTCTGGATTATCGAACAGTCTGTGGAATCTGATAATAAGGTATTATACATAAATTAATATTATATTACATTTCTTAAGTATTAGAAAATGTACACTGGCATTTAATTACTGTGAACCACTGAATATCACACATCAGCCTTTATGCACAAATCCTCTTCTATTTAGTATATTAGCATTTACTTCCGGCTTATCTATACATTATCAAACAGTTGAATTTCAAACTGTCCTTCAACAGACATACTACTTAAGGAGGTATGGAAACCAAATAGGGCATTTATGGACAACTGTATTACACACTTAGCCATTTCTTTGCCTTATAACCTACTACTGCTTACTGTGGGTGAGCATTTTTACTAATTCTGATATTAGAGTAACCGCAGAGTTCACAACTGGACATCCGGTTAACCGCGGACAGAAAAACCACAAACGCCTACACAGAAAAAAAAAACGATTTCGACTGAAATGAATGTAGAGCCGTGGCTTACCTATTTAGGTGACAGCACTGGAGAGTCACACACATGTAGCATTACACAGAGGAACACATTGCAAAAGCCGAGTGAAATAGGTTGGTTTTTGTGTCGGACGAATAACGTAACGAAGGCCGCCTAAGATGAGCTAATGAGCTACAGCTACAACTACAGCTACAGCGAACCGAAATAACACTGGATGGTGATGGAGACTCGTTGTCTTCTACAGGTGGCTTTCTCCTCTTCAGTGGGCCATATGCCAACATATTAGTGTCAGAGAAATCTATTTGAACTGTTTCTGGACCTAAATTCAGCCTAGCCTATTTAGAGATCAAATCCTTCTCAGTCACATCCTTAACAACACAGACTTGACAACGAACTCGCGTTCAGACACTGCCGTTTAAGTGTAGCCAGGTACAACATAACTCGCAGACACGAGCAAAACTTTCGCGTTTTACAGCTCTGTTAACTCATAAAATCAGTGTTTCACTGAATTGTTCCTCTGTGCTTTTTCTCCATCTTCCCATAACAGTGGTTTTCACTGCTTACCTCACTTTCATGCCTTAACCTCTTAAAATCCCATACTTGTTACTACCTAAGGCTTATTATTCTGTTGGACAGCAATATCACTTGGAAAACAATGCAAACTGACTTAGTCTTAAATTATAGGAGTGAGGAATGGAAGCCAAGACCCTGATGGTCCCTGCCAATTTAAGGGGCTAATTTACAAAGAATTTGAACACTAATTATAACCACAAACATTTATTATAAACTTACAGCTTAATGTTGAACCTAGACTATTATGTGAAGCTCATCTCTGAAACAGTACCTGGGCACAGTGATCTTAGCGTAGTGGTTGCCATCCCAGCGCACCTCCAGGCCGAAGGGAGTGGCGAGAATGACATACTGGCCAGCCAAGGTCAGAGAGATTAGTGGAGAGGGTGAATGAGGAAGGCCTACTTTCAGTCCGTTCACCTGGAGGGATGGAGAAAATACAGATGTGAATTTAAGACATACGTTGCTCATATCATACGATGTGGCTAATTTTAATGACAGGAACTTGAGACAGCTAAGTAAAGTGCGAAAAGAAAAAACTTTAAAAGACAAGATTATGTTTATTATACTTGACATGCCGCGTTGAAACAGCAGCAATGGGAAAAGAAAATACGGGCATCAAATGATACTGACCAAAACGGTTCTGCTCTTCATCATCGTCACAGTGATGTCATTGACAGTCACATACAACTTCCTCAGATACGACACACCAGAGACTCCTCTCTCTTCATTCTTCCCCTCCACAGAGAACCAGGGGCCTGTAGAACACAAAACAAAAAAAAAGATCATTAAGTTTTACAGTTGATTATAGTTTCTGAAAGAAAGCTTAATTTATTTGTTAATGTTGGTTTATAGCCTAGAACACTTTCATTTTTATGCTGAATTAATTAATTAATAAATTAATAAACTTGTGCATTCATTACTGTGAGAACCAAAATGTTTTTTGTACTTAACATACAGAAATCATGGGTGGTACTTACCAGTGTTGTTTCTGCAGGTGCGGGCCAGCGTGTAGGTGCAGGTTCCCATGAAGGAGTAGTATTTACCATCAAAAGTGTTGTAATGGGGGTCACCAGAGATGATACAATCCTTAAAATCTAGAGGAAAATGAAGGACATATCGATATAATGCCTAATTTACAGAAAATGAATAACAACAGCAGCAGTAAACTGTTAATGAGATATGAAATCTCAAACCTAATGAATAATACAGTTTTATACAGTACTGACCAACTGGGTAACATCCTATTTGTCCTCCCTGCACACCACACTGCTGCATGGGTGGGCATTCAGCAGCACTGCAGGTGACGAATGGGGGATCACACTTGCACAGCAGATCACAGTCCTTAGTGTAGAACTCCTGCCCAGGCTAAAATTCATGGAAAGTAGACAGAACATTTTAGAGAACTGTACGCGAGAGAGCTGCTATGACACATTAACATCCATAAACACTCACCTGGTAATACTGTCCATTATACGTGCAGCCACACGTGTCTTGTTTCACACACTTGTCACCACTGAGTAAGTAGCCAGGGTCACACACACAGCCCTCAGAGCAGGGCCCTGTGCACTGACTGGGTGGGGGAAGTGTACAGGAAGGCTGGCAAGGGGAGACGCAGGGGTCGTAGTGGCTGTTGGATGGGCAATCAAGAGCTGAAAAAGAAAAATGTTCCCATTTATCGTAGTTTAATGTAATGATAAAAGCTACAAGCAAACATATTCACATTAGATTGTAAAAGTGGCGTCCTATAAGAGTGAAATACAGCAGACCAAAACCTAGTCTGTATTTTAGATATAGCGTGATTTTATGGTTTCTGAGAGACTTACGACAGAAGGTGCTGTTTCTCCAGGCACCGATGTTGACCCCACGGTCCTGGCACTCGTTGACGTAGGCTTCAATCGCTTCACACAAAGCAGAGTGAGGGCCGCCCAGCGCACACAGATCATATACACAGTTTTTGAAGAAACTCTGCACAAACACACAGAGTTAAAATGAATGACAGCATTAATATTAACAGACTAGCGTTAAATGCTTAGATGTAAGTGACCTGGTCTGATTAACTCACATTAGGATTGACTTTTGGGTGGCACACAGCAAATGGACCATTGCTGTCCAGTATGATACCACAGTATGCTGGACTCTCATAAAGGTCCTGTTCAGTTTCTGTGCAGCCAGTGGGTGGGACCTCTGGGGTCTTGTTGCAGCTGGAGAGCAAATAAGAACAGCAGTCAATCTCCATTTAATCTCATATACAGTTACAGGAGGGATTGAGGAAATATGGATTCCTCAGTATAGAGAAGAACTAATCAGCCTGTACAATACAATATCAAAGACTCACTCAGGGTCTGTGTTCCAGCTGTTGCCAAACTCAGTTGGATTGTTGACCAGTTCACCAGAGGGGGTGCGGAAGTCGTCCTTATAGTTGCCATTATAGTCACCACACAGGCCACACAACTTGTCCTGATAGCTGCACAAACAAACGAGCATGTTACATAAGACATGCTGTTTTAACAAAACATTAATATTTACCAGTTTAACACAACACTCACTCTTTGATGACTTTGATGTCCATGTAGTGGTTACCATCATAACGAACAGTTACGCCAAAGTCCATGACCACTGTGTAGAGTGTCCCAGATTTGAAAACATCTACTCCAGACACCGGACTCAAAGGAATGTTCACATTCGTTCCGTTCAGCTGAGAACAGATGGAAAACAGAACATATGAAATTGCTCTAGAATCCAATGCACTTCATTCACTTCCTACACTTGTTCTTTATTCCTACATCTTTGCTCTCTCACCTGCACAACTCCTCCTTTCAGGATGGACACCTTTACTCCCCGAACGTGGACATGGACAGCACTAACATAGCTGACCCAGGGGTTGTTGAAACGATTCTCATTCTCAGCATAAACAGCAAAGTAGGGCACATCTGTGCTGTTGCACGGTTCAGACATCAAGTAGGTGCAGTTGCCCATGAAGTCATAATTACGCTTGTCAAAGGTGGTGTAGTGGGGGTCAGCTGAGGCAATACAGATGGAGGTGTCTGTAGGTAGAAGAGATCAACAAACTTAGCATGCTGACACTGTTAAACCCATAATAATCCAAAGCAGTGAGGAATATTACAACATCCTGAAGGGTAACATAATTCAAATATCACATCTTGAAGTGAGAGTTTTCACAACACCTTTAGGATAGCAGCCATGGACTCCTCCCACTTCCCGACACTCTTCTGTGGGGTCACAGGTGTTGTCCACACAGCTCAGGGTGTAATTGCCTGCACAGCGACACAGCTTGGAGCAGCCATTCCCAAAGACAATCTCTCCAGGCTGGAAAAAATCAGTTAAGTTACATTCACTGAACTAAATGCAAAGCTGTCTTAATCAACTGTGTATTCCTTTCACCTCATAGTAGTTGTTGTCATCATCCAGACATCCACACTGCTCAATGGGAATACAGCGTCTGCCCCGGAACACAAAACCTGGTTTGCAGAAGCAGCCGCTGATACAGGAGCCAGTGCAGTTGGTGGAGGGTTCTTTACAGCTGGGAATACAAGCTGGACCGCACTCTATGTACTCCGCATTATCAGGGCACTTCACTGTTTGAGGAAAAAATTAAGAAAGTTAAAAGTATGTTTGTGTACTTTGATAAATTGTTCAGAGAAAAATATTTTTAATTTTTACCGGGTGTTGTTGACGTAGTAGTAGGTTTTGGAGTTGTGGGTTGGAGTGTCGAGGGCTTTGGTGTCGGTGGGCCAGCTGTGGTGGGTTTTGGTGTTGCTGGTTGGGCTGTTGATGGTTTAGGTGTGGATGGCTGAGGAGTTGAAGGTTTTGGAGTTGAAACAGGTGTTGTTGGCTTTACTGTTGGTATTACACCTAAAATGAAGAGAAAATACATGATGAATGCAGGGTTTATTAAAAATATGCATCACAAGTCTCTTAGAAGATGGAAGTCTTACCCTCACAACTTGTTATACAGACGCTGTCTATAGCAATGTCTGTCTTGTCAGTCTCTCCATATACACCAACAATCACAAACTGAAACAAAAAGATCCCTATCATGAATAACATTTCCAACCGTAACTAAAAAGTGTTCTTTAGAGCAATGACATATAACAGGGGTGTGGAAGTGAGGGCTGGATTCCAACAACGTTTTTTTTATTTCTCTGCTCTGACGAAACTACTAAACCTTGTTCTTAACCATTAAGTTGAATCAGGTGTATTTGAGCAGGAAAGTCACCAAAATGTGCAGGAATCCAGCCTGTGAACCCACTTCCGCTTATAGAAGAATCATTTTTGGTCTCAAAAGAATCTGTGTAAAAATCTTTGTAATTTTCAAGCTTTCAGTCATAGACTTTCTTCAGGGCATGAATAGTTCTTTGTAAAAATTTAGTTACCAGACTAAACAATGACCAAATTCTGTGGTTATCAAATGTTTACCTGCTTGCGTTAGGCAGCTTGGTCCCTAACTTAACTAGCCAGCTAACAAAAATCACTTTTCTGAGACAAACACATTGCACATTGCTAGAACCTTGTATCATGATATAATGCAATCTCTAGTTAGAAAGCATGCACATTAAGAGGCATGAGGGAGGAAGATAACAGCACTTTGTAAAAACTTGTGAAACTTCAGTGGGAACAATTTCTTCTCCTTGCGATATATGTCAGTTACTGTCTACTTCTACTTCTAGGGTTACCTAGAGTTAGCCAGCAAGGTGCCAATATTATTAGCTGGCTAACAGTAATATTAACCCCTTAGAATCACAGGCTTCTAATATACTAACAGAGACGTCAAGGCAAACTGGTTGAGCTATTCTTAGGTTATAAAACTGAACTTAATATTTATCATAATGTAAATTTCTAAACATTACAAACGTATATTGTTACAATGTCTGTAGTGTAAAAATTCAAAAGCAGTAAAACATTTTTCATAAAATGATACAAGCCTTTAAATTTAGCAACCTTTATGTGTAAGAGTGTAGTGAAAAATTCAGCATAAATCAGTTGTAGTATAATGGCCTTTTTGGGTTAATTGAACATCACAAACAACTATGATACTAAATTATTTTACAAGAATTGGGAAAGAGCTTGTTAACTAAACTTCAGTTAGTTAGCAAAGTAGTCAACCAAATCCATACCTGAACGTTTCCCGCACCAATATGACGGACTTCTGCTGGTTTCCACCCCTGTCCTTGGTTTCCTTTGATACTGAAAATAGGTGGTCCCAGTTCTCCAGCTGAGGGTTGTCACAGCAATTATTTTAAAGTTTGTTAGTAATTTAATTATTGCAAGTAGCTTACTTAACTGACTGAATCCTAAAAACGTATTTGTTTTGTTGTCACAATCTGTAGAAACATTATAATAATAAATCTAAAAATCTAGCCAGTCCATCTCACTTTTAGAAGAGAGTCTTACCACTGGTGACCACATGAACATTAAGCTCCATGTTTGCTGCAGTGCCATACAAGTAGTAATGGAAGTTTAACTGGAGGCAATTAGAAGAAGGAACAGCTGTGGATGGACTCCATAGCTGAGCTGAGGCTCCTGGGACTCTGGAGTAGGAATCCATAAACAGGTAGTTTCCAACTGTATTGACAGAATTAAGACATTAAGGTGGACTTTAGGACAGACATCAAAATATACTGGACAGCATGTACTGTGTAGCGCAAAGGACAATAATAGTACATTAAAAGCAAGTCTGAAAGAATTTGTTTTAACTGACAAAATAAAATAAACCTAGAGTGACAATGAAAATATACTAAGAATTTTGAAGAAAACTTACAGCCTGGTTTGGAGAAATCATCATCAGGACCTGTTTCAGGCGTTTCAGTGGGCCCATTCCAGAACTCCCAGCCTAGAATGGATGGATCTGACACCTCATTGGTCCAGCCACAGAGGTTATCCAGTTCATCAAAATCACATTCAGCTATACACCCTGTGCAAAGAGATAAGAAGGCCTGCATTAATCTCACCAGTTTTTAATTAATTTGTGAATCTGGATTTTAATGAAGAATGAGTGTACCAGGGCAAGCTCCCTCAGTGATGTCAATGTTATCCAGGGCTGTATCACATGATGGGGAGAACCCACGCATTGCTTCAAACACAATCTGAGAAACAATACAGTAATACAATCAAACCATGATGCAGTAAGACAAATGTTAAAAAGAACATTTTGGTTTTCTTGTCAGTATGGACTGCACTACCTCCTGAGCAAAAGCTAAGACGTTTACAGCTATGTACTGTAGAAGCCTTAACAATCAAACAGTCAGAAAGGCCGTGTATAGCTATAGGCACATCAAAACTGGCTCAGGCTTGCCACACCAAGGATAAGAAAACTTGTTGAGCAGTACAATGAAGATGTGGTATAAACATTTATTGTTATATTGCTGAGTGAGTATCATCAGGAAAACAATATGTATCATTTAATGACGATTATTGAGCTGTAGCCCCAGACAGTTCATTTCATATCTGTCTGTAGGAGGCTGATTTGATGGAGGTTTTGATATTTTGTTCACATTTAATTTAATATGAGGCAAATGATATCAAATAACCTAAATAAATATGAGATTTTGACCAACAAAGATTCCAGTGTGCTCAATCTAGCTCTAGCTGAGCACCAGGGCGTATTCCACTACTCAGTCCCAATCTGAGGGATCAGGATAGACAGAACATTATATATGGAACTGAGAACCACTTGTATACTCACTTCAATAGGCTCTCCAGCTGGTTTGGCCACAGTAATAGCTGCTCCGAGCCATGACGGACTCTGGAATCCAACTTTCCGCCATAGATTTTCCTCTGAGCCAGATCGCTTAGCCAGCACAGTCAAGGTGTTGCTGTCGTCGGAACCGTACATGTAGTACTTAAACTGTACACAGATCTGTGCTGATGCAGTGTTAATCACAGGACTCAGCAAGCGTGCTTTCTTCCCATTAGCAACATTATCGGCCTCATGGTAGATGTAATATCCAGCTGTGGAAGATGGAAATAGGGGTTGATTTACCAAATTTCTTTTTGTAAAACAGAAAATTCCGATATATAGAGATGATATAATGTGCTCTCATACTAGATTTCAATTGTTATTTTTTGTTTATTAACAATTGTTATGATTACATTGGATGACATATAATTGTATTTTATGGAAAGGACATTTTCTCCATCTTAAAAATGAACTATTGTTTTACGTCCACCTATTGTTTCACATCCATGTTCAGAACACAGGTCTCTTGAACATGGGACTTACTCCCATCAGGATAGTCTCCACTGGGTCCAGTGTTAGATGTTGGGGTGGGGCCCTTATGGCGAATCCAGTCACTGTCATCCGCAGTGTCTTGCCTGAAGTTACAGAAAGGGTCCTCATCGTTGTTGAAGTCACAAGAGGCTATGACAGCTGTTTTAGAGGTGGGGGGGAGCAAAGTATTAAGTATAAATCTTAAATGAAATACAGTAGATAATTCAGTAAGAACATGCAAGAAACTTCTCTAATGATTCTGCAGTTCATAGACAGGCCTTGTCCTTGTCTCAACATGAACATCATAAAACTTTATGCAATGTTTTTTTAAAGATTATTTACTAAATGCAATCAAAAACACTTCCTCTTCTATTTTCCTGGTAAAATCTCCAAAACGCTCTGTAAATGTATTTTAAATGGACGTGGATCACAGATAAGATTTATTGGGCCTACTGTACTCCACCCTTTTACAACTTTAACTGTTATGTTCTGTGCTGTCACACAGCATTTGTGAGTGTGTAAGCACTTGTGAGGTGATAAACACATTGTGTGGAGGAATAAGAACTTTGAAGCTATGGTAAGGAAAAGGGTAAAGTTCCCATCCAAAGGGCAGGTTATTATGAAACAACAGCACATTCAACACAGGCCTGAGTTAATTGGTGAAAATAATAAATATATACATATATATATATATATATATATATATATTTTATGGTTTTTCTTAAGAAAATAAACTTAGAAAATATAATATTACTAATTAAGAAAAATTATGGCATATTTTTCATATTTTGGAGTGCCGCAACACTTACCACCATCACGTTCAGTAAAATCAGATCTAGAGAAAGTTAGAAAAAGCAAATTAGTTGCAGAACACTAAAATTCATTTTCACCATTAAATTTTTATTATTTTTTTTTAATTCACCATTTTCATTTGTAAAATATGTACTGTATTCACATGCAGGTGTTTGTATGTTTGTCATCAATTGACCATCTTTTGCTGTTTTAAACTCAGTACTACTTTCAATAAACAAATGATCAACCACATTCAGCACTTCATATGTCAAATTTAAATCTTCAAGATGGAGTATATAACAGAATTATTATAATAAGTATGGTTAACTGAAGTGCTGACTGGGAAATACTTTAAAGAATTTTTATGGTCTCATATAATAGACTGTTCATCACTTTATTCTGACTAATTTAGCAAAAAAGTGAATTTACATATCATCGCTGTTGGAAAAAACCTAACAAAACATAATTTGAAAAATGCCAGCTTCTGTTTTCACTGTGGCAAGAAATTCATGACGAATTAACCAATAGAAATGCTCCAAATTGATGCCAGATAAAATCATTACATTAACTTACATTGAAATTTAAGATTTTTTTTCCTATGTACTGTAAAGTTTTTTGGAGTTTTTTTTGGAGGTTTGATTTCAACAGTGATGATATATTACATTTTTATACTAGATTTAGGCTTACATTTCAACTTTATAATCCATGTTAGCCTTAGGCAGTAAATAGAAATGATAAAACAAGAAACTGCATCCCTTTATGTCAGTTAGCAGAACGTGGATCTCTGTATCTTATCTTTCAGAGGTGCCACTTCCTCATGTCTTTAAATTGTTATCTCTCCAGCAGATTCAAAAATGTTATTTTTTGCCAATGCCTTTTAAAGAGTTTACTATAAATGAGTCTACTTAGACCTTAACAATGAGTCTGTTACACTGGTACAAATTTTATTTATTTACTTATTTTTTTATTACCTCTGTGTACTCTTGGATATATCAACACGTTCATAAGTCAGATATTGTAGTGCATCATGCACTGTATAAATAAAGTGAAAAGGCCAGCTTTCATTTTTTATTAAATTTAACTTAATCATTTAGTTCAATTTCAGTAAAGCCTTGGAAATTTGTGATCATCAATTTCTTTCAGAAACTCACCTGTTGTCAATGTTTCCTGCAGTATAGCTGCCACTTATCCATGTTAAAATTAATATAAGTTTTAGATGACCCATAGCTAACTGATGCAGTTAGCTTAACAGAAGCAGACTTAATGGAGCAAAGTCAATTTATAAAGGGTGGCCTGTGGTTCAAGGAGGGAGGGTGGAAGGAGGAGTATAAGAGTATCTTGTCACTTTCGTATTATTTGGCATAGCTTATTGCAAAACCAATTGAGTGAATCAGTAACTGCTGGTGATAGGACCAGGGTGTGTGTCACTTGTCTTGCTGGAGCGTACAACAGTTCTCAGTAGGCACCTACAGAAGGGTGTGCTCAACAAGATGGGAATTACATAATTGGGCCTAGTGTTGTAGATACTGTTGCGTAAGAGATTTGAAACTTTCAAAGCAGCAGCCCCCTGTGGAGCCATTCACACGTCTCACTATCATGCTCACCTGAACTGAATTGATTTTTGTACCAAGGGACATGAATTGATGATGCTGATGCTCATTTAGCTTGTCAGCTAATAGTTTGATCCAAATGAGTCAAAAGATTAAAAAACATCAAGTGCTAGTCAACACCTTTACATTACTGTGACTAGCAGGGCTGGTCAATCCAACTACACTTTCAGTCATAGTGAAGAACTCATTCACTGGTCTTGTTTAAGTCCTCGTTGTGATCAGAAGTCATTTTATTAGCACTACTTTTTGGAGTCAGACATGTGACCTGTAATATGATGTCAAGTGATGTCAAGATCAGATATATCAGATTTTAGTATTTTTGTGAGAATTATGAACAAAAAAACTAACTCAAAATACCATTTAATGTAGGTCATTTCCATCTAGAAGTAAATAATAAAAGAATTAATTTCTTCTCAATTTGATGACCTCTGCTGGAACATATAACCAGACAGACCTGCCCCGTTTTTGACCCTATATTAATTCTGTAATGTGACTATAATCCACTGAAATCACTGCTGTGTCTCTGGTGCTCCACCCTTTGATAACGTGTTTATTATGTCTATAAAATGAAGGGCCTTGAGGCACTACCCATCTCCTGTAGCTCATCGCTATAGCAACATAAGCAGATAACTGACTCTCATATCGCTGGCCAAAGAAAAACAAGTATCTCCAAAATAGTAACTTTACTGAAGAAGGCAAAAACACTCTTACCTTTCAATGTAAGTTAATGTAAAGAGATTTTATTCCAAGTGATTTTAGAGCATGTCTATTGGTCCATTCATCATGAAATTTTTCACGCAACGTTAAGAGCAGCTGGCATGTTGAATGGAGATACATGGCTTTCTTTGGACAGTGATGATACACTGAGTGCTACAGAGACCACATTTTATCCCTGCTGCTACACTGATGATTTAGGTGCATTTTTTGTAAGTGTTTCTGTTGCACCCATTTTAAAAAACAGCAGTTTCTCTGTTTCTGTTTCTCCTTCACAAATGCTTTCAAGTAAAGGTTAAAAAAACTTATAAAAACAAAATATAACAGTTTTATTGGCCACCTGCTTTCAGCTTATTAAAATACTGTTAAAAATAGATGCAGCATTGTGGAGGTATTTTACAATACTATTTAATGTAGACCTCATGGAGGATTATGGAGTTCAAATGAGCTGCTGTGTCTGTAGAAAATCATTAAAAAATGAGGACTGTGCATGTCGTTTTTTTCTTTTCTTTCTATTGTTAAAACAATATTTTCAGTACGGATCAAAGTTAATTATTATTGATGGATAAAGAACGAGGAGCACTGTAGTGATGACAGTTAACACATTTGGTTCCTGAGTCTTGTGAGCAATAAGCTCAACAAAACAGGGCCAAAAAGATCTGAACAGAGTCTGAAATGAATTGTTGTTTTTACAAAAGGTCAATTTTGCATTGATTGGTTACGTAGCAGAAGATCCGGTGCATAAACTTCTGCAATTTCAAAACATGGAATGTGACTAATACTGAGCTGTTTTGCAATATTGTTCTCTCCTTTGTTTCCTTGCTTACCTAATTTCAGTACCTCCACTAAATCTTAGACATGTGGGATTTATTTCTTGATCTGAATTTGAGGAAAGTAAACTGAACTGCTTTGTCTAAGATTTGCAGGGGCATGTCCTACCCTGAGTCAGGATGTTAACTTGTCCAAAGGCCATCTGTGGTAAATGTCGTGACAACTATGCTCTGGGAATCTCCTCTGCAGTTAATGAATTACACATTATATGAACATCCACACCCTTACATCAATATTACTGTAAGCACAGATTTCCTTTCCTATATTAGATATTCATCTATGTAGATATATAGCTAACATAGTCTCTCGAGATGGTTTAGAAAGAAATCTCTTCATTAGCTGTTCATGTCCCAACTGCTTCTGAAGGTGTTCAAATTTTAAGTTGCTTTAAACACGTTGTTCATTTCAAACGATTCAAAGTTCAGAATGTGTGGAAGAGTTTCTTTTACTATTAAGTTTGCTCACTTCATTGACCCCCCACCCACCTCAAGCTGCCAGTTTTAACGGTGATGTTACCATTATGACCCATTGCTGTGAAAGTCTATCTGAAGGTTTATAAGTGTCAGCCTCTAAGGATTATAACCTCTAAAGATCAAAAGTAATCCTTCTATTCACAGCTTCCAAACTCTATAAATCCACCAATACCCATGTACTACATTTCTAATGTTAAAATCAATCGTATAGATGAGCATATCACTTAGTAAGAGCAATAAAAACAAAAGGGAAAACACATCTGAATATAACAAAATTATTGATACTAATTGTCCAAAATGCATGGGCAAAACTACATAACTCTAGATTTCTTGTGTCCCAACCTAATCTATTGGTAACACTTTATTTGGATGGTCCACTGTAGATGCTTTGTAGATGCTATCTTTAACTCTTTCAACCAAATATCTATTTAATGCAACTGAACTTGAAGTTGTGTGCGAAAGATTCTATTAAATCTGTCCCTAACCCCAAACTTAACCCTAAAAGCTAACCTCAAAGCCAATTCTACACCTACTCCTAAACTTAACCCTAAACCAAATGTTGTTGATAAGTTTGTTATAATATAGGTATCTGTAGATTATCTATAGGGGATCATCCGAATACAGTGTGACCAACATGTTTTATATTGGTAAACTGTATGGGTTTAGCCACTTAAGTCTAGCCACTTAAAAAGTTCTTGATTTTGGTGCTTTGAGTAATGTAGATAAATATTGAAGTATCCTGAGACAAGGAACTAATGTCTGACTTGTCTGACTAGCTCAAACCCAAGCAAAAGCTGAACACAGTTGCTTCTCTTACCCTCACTCCAACACCCCAACCAAAAGCAAAAAGAACTAAGAATTCCTCTTCCTGCCCAGCTCCCCCACTCCTCCTCAATCATGAGGGTGCCCTGCCCCAAAAACATGAGCCCCTCAAGGGATTGACAGAAATCAAAGTGACTAGTACTATTTCCTTAACTTATTTCCTCTCACATTATCACAAGAGGTATACAATCCCCTGGAAAACAAGGCACAACTGCCAAAGAACAATACATCCCTACACATAACTGAAATTTCTACAATGTATACGTACAGAGCTTTCTGAATTATTACTGGCAAAGATAAGCAAGAAAGGCTGTAAAATGTCTTAAAACTCAAGGACACTGTGCACGTTTCACCCCTTGAATGGCTAGGAAAATGTTCTTTAACCTTTCATAAGTCATTTGATCTATGAAATGTCTCAGTCCAAGATATGACATATGAAACATAATTGCGGATACGGCATTAACATTTTTCATTGGCTTATATGGGGTTAATAGCAGTGCAGGTAAATATTGTGCTTCTGAAAAACATTCAAGGGAGTGTAGTGATCTTTGCACACTGGGCGCAACCCAAGTGCTGGAGCATATGAGGAAAATATGGGGAGTCCTACTTGGCTTATATAACCTAGGTCAGGGGTGGGGAACTCTTGTCTTGTGGGGCTGGATTCCTGTGTGGTTTGGTGATTTTCCTGCTCTAACACACCTGATTCAACTCATCAGTTAATTGTCAGGTTTAAGTTGGAGTGTTAGAACAGGGAAAACACCACTCTGGCCCTCAGTTCCCCACCCCTGTCCTACTTTCTAAACAAAATCATTTGAGCATGTTCATATAGTGGTCACTGTAAGATGTAACTTGGTGAAGGTTATATGAATTGCAGCTCATTTTAATTGTAGTGAAACAGTGAGCGAGCAGAATTTGTCAGGAACAATATGCCATTTTTAAAAAAGTTTTCACATCCTACACGTCTAAATGTGAACGTTTTTTGTTGAACATTAAAATAAACTCAATTCCAAAAAAGGTGAAAAGTTGGGACAGTATTGTGAAATATAAATAAAAACAGAAAGCAGTGATGTTTAAATTTCTACTTTGATCAGTACAAAGACAAGATATAACAAAGACAAGAGACAAGATGGTTAAATCTAATCAACAGTTTTTTTTTTTTTACATATACGCTTATTTTGAAATTTATGCATGCAACATGTCCCTAAAAATGTTGGGACAGGGGCAATGTAGGGCTTGTTAAATGATCAGAAAACATCTGAAAGAAGTGTTGTAATCACACCTCCATATAAAAGTAGCATCCAGGAAAGGCAGAGTCCTTTATGAGAAAGGATGGGTCGAGGCTCACCACTTCGCCAAAAAATGCATTCAGATAAGGGCTTTGGATAGGTTATTAAATTATTGTCCTGTTGAAAAATGACCTTTGCGAACTTACAGTCTTAAAAACTGAAGGTTCCTTGGATGTATAGTTCTAAGTTCTGTAGATCCTTTACATTATGTGAAGGTTCCCTAAACTTTATAAAGATTATTCATACTGATACATCTCATTTACAAAAAAGTTATTTAAAAAAAAAAAACAGTAGTTATTCAAAAACATCCATTGAAAAGGTCTTTCAGGAACCAAAGGAGGTTCTTCTATGGCATCACTTCAAAGAACCATTGTGACACCTCTACCCCTTTAAGAGTGTAATTTTATCTCTCTATGTGTGAAATGTGACTCTGGGGTGAGCTGATAGCAGGCGGAAAATGTATTTTATGGCTACTGTGGAAAGGCCGTAATATATAGAGATAATATAAGCTCAGAAATTCTCTGG